AGGAAACCAAGGGTGACACGGTGGCCCCCGGGGCAGAGGGGCTGCTCAGCCTGCAGCCAGACGACTTTGTCTTCTACGTTGGGGGGTACCCCAGTAACTTCACGGTGAGCCTGCCTGGCCAGGGCAGCCCTGAGTCTCTTATATCCCGAAGAGTCATGGGTTCCACCTTGGTCCGTCCTGCTATAGTCTGAAGTCCCCTTGGTACATCCTGGAGGAGGAGCCTCAGGCCAGATGCCCTGACCCAGCCCTGTGCCCACAGCCCCCACCACTGCTTCACTTCCCTGGCTACCGGGGCTGCATCGAGATGGACACACTGAACGAGGAGGTGGTCAGCCTTTACAACTTTGAGAGGACCTTCCAGCTGGACACGGCTGTGGATAGGCCTTGTGCCCGGTGAGTGTGGCCTGCCCTCCCTGCCTCCGCCCACCCCACCCTCTGCTGACCTCAGAACCTCTGACCTGCAGCTCCAAGTCCACTGGGGACCCGTGGCTCACAGACGGCTCCTACCTGGATGGCACTGGCTTTGCCCGCATCACCTTCGACAGTCAGATGAGCACCACCAAGCGCTTTGAGCAAGAGCTGAGGCTGGTGTCCTACAGCGGGGTCCTCTTCTTCCTGAAGCAGCAGGTACGCCCAGCACACACACGTGGCACACTTTGCGCTGATGCTGACCACACTGACCCTGCCCTGCCCTGACCCTGCCCCACGCTGACCCCGCCCCACGCTGAATCTGCCCTGCGCTGACCCTGCCCCACACTGACCCCGGCTCCTCTCTGCAGAGCCAGTTCCTATGCTTGGCGGTGCGAGAAGGCAGCCTTGTGCTGCTTTACGACTTCGGTGCTGGCCTGAAGGAAGCTGTCCCACTGCAACCCCCACCGCCCCTAACCGCGGCCAGCAAGGCGGTAGGACCAGGATGGGGACCAGGGCGGCAGGGAGAGGAGGTGGGATGATGGGGGTGGGGCAGGCCACAGGGACACAGCTGGCCCTGGAGCTACCACCGGTCCTGCAGATCCAGGTTTTCCTGCTGGGGGGCAGCCGCAAGCGCGTGCTGGTGCGCGTGGAGAGGGCCACGGTGTTCAGCGTGGAGCAGGACAGTGCCCTGGAGCAGGCTGACTCCTACTTCCTGGGGGGCGCACCGCCTGACCAGCTGCCCCCAAGGTGAGCACTTGAGGGCTGGGGCACTGAGGCCAGGCTGTTGGGGTGGCAGGCTGGGTTGGGAGGTAGCACCCTGACTCATGTCCCCCGAGTCCCCGCATTCCCCCATCCCCCTCATCCACCCACCACTGTTTCACAGCTGCCCCCAAGATGAGCACTTGAGGCTGGGGCACTGAGGCCAGGCTGTTGGGGTGGCAGGCTGGGCTGGGAGGTGGCACCCTGACCTGTGTCCCCGCATCCCTACATCCCCACATCCCCTCATCCCTGCATCCCCGCAGCCTGCGGCAGCTCTTCCCCACCGGAGGCTCAGTCCGAGGCTGCATCAAAGGTATCAAGGCCCTGGGCAAGTACGTGGACCTCAAGCGGCTGAACACGACGGGCGTGAGCGCCGGCTGCACCGCTGACCTGTTGGTGAGCAGCGTTCCCTGGGCCAGGGTGGCATCTGTGGACATGCGTAGTGCCCGAGGGCACTCAGGGATGGCCTCCCCACAGGTGGGGCGGGCCATGACTTTCCACGGCCACGGTTTCCTTCTGCTGGCATTCCCAAACGTGGCACCCCTCACTGGCGACATCTACTCCGGCTTTGGCTTCCACAGCACCCAGGACAGTGCCCTACTCTACTACCGGGCATCACCGGTGAGACCTTGCACCCTGCTCACTCCCCACCTGTGGCGGCCGTGGGGGCAGTCGGGACTGAGGTGGCTGGAGTGCTGGGCCCCCAGGCTTGCGGCCAGCTGACCTGGCTGCTGTCCCCAGGATGGGCCATGCCAGGTGTCCCTGCAACAGGGCCATGTGACCCTACGGCTCCTGAGGACTGAGGTGAAAACTCAGGGGGGCTTTGCCGATGGTGCCCCCCACTACGTCGCCTTCTACAGCAATGCCACAGGGTGAGCTCAGCCGCTGGCCCCTCACTGGGAGACATATCCGCCTGTACCTACCTCTGTCTCCCTCTGAGGTGGGTGGGGGTGGGCATCGAGGTGAAAAACCAAGCCTCCGGCCTCTTGCCCCCCAGGGTCTGGCTTTATGTCGATGACCAACTCCAGCAGATGAAGCCCCACCGGGGGCTGCCCCCTGAGCTCCAGCCACAGCCTGAGGGGCCCCCGAGGCTCCTCCTGGGAGGCCTGCCTGAGTCTGGCACCTTTCACAACTTCAGTGGCTGCATCAGCAACGTCTTTGTGCGGCGGTGAGCCTGGTGGGTGTTGTGGAGCGGGGAGAGGTCCCAGCTGGCCTTCTCCAGCTGCTGACTGCCCACCCGCCCACCCTGCCCAGGCTCCTGGGGCCGCAGCGCGTGTTTGACCTGCAGCAGAACATGGGTAGCGTCAATGTGAGCACAGGCTGTGCCCCTGCCCTGCCAGCCCAGACCCCACACCTTGGGCCTAGAGGACTGCAGGCCAGCGGAGGGAAGGTGGGTGTCCCAGCAGTGAGCGGGCAAAGCTGGGTGGCTAGAAGGGTGGCCCCCATGCGGGCAGACCCTGCATTCACCGTCTGTACCCCCAGGCCTCCCGCCGCAGCCGTCAGCCCTCCCAGGACCCTGCCTGCATGCTGCCCCCCTACCTCAGGACCACCCGAGACACCTACCAGTTTGGGGGCTCCCTGTCCAGTCACCTGGAGTTTGTGGGCATCCTGGCCCCACACAGGAACTGGTAAGGCCGGGCCTGGCTGGGGTGGGCTGAGGGGGGCCACGCAGGCTGACACCCACCCTGGCTTCTAGGCCCAGCCTCTCGCTGCATGTCCTCCCACGAAGACCCCAAGGCCTCCTGCTCTTTGCGGCCCCCGCCAAGCCTGGCAGCCCCTCCCTGGCACTCTTCCTGAGTAATGGACACTTCGTCGCTCAGATGGAAGGCCTTGGACCCCAGCTCCGTGTCCAGAGCCACCAGCGTTCCCGGCTTGGTCACTGGCACACAGTAAGGGCAAGGAAGAGGGACAGCCGGACCCTGCCCTGCCCTGCCCCACCTCCCACCCCGCCCCACCTCCCACCCTGCCTCCCGCCCCCAGGTCTCTGTGCGTTGGGAGAAGAACAGGATCCTGCTGCTGGTGGATGGGACCCGGGCCTGGAGCCAGGAGGGGCTGAGTCAGCAGCACCAGGGGGCGGAGCATTCCCAGCCCCACACCCTCTTTGTGGGGGGCCTTCAGGCCAGCAGGCACAGCTCCAAACTCCCGGTGAGAACCATCTCACCATAGCCCCCACTCCCCACCCTCCCCACCCAGCGTTCACCCGTTTCAGCCACCCTGGGCCCTGATCCCAGCCCTATCTGCTCCCTATAGGTGACCGTCGGGTTCAGCGGCTGCGTGAAGAGACTGAGGTTGCACAGGAGGCCCCTGGGGGCCCCCACACGGCTGGCAGGGGTCACACCCTGCATCTCGGGCCCCCTGGAGGAGGGCCTGTTCTTCCTGGGCAGCGGGGGAGTTGTCACACTAGGTCTGTGGGTGCTGCTGTCCTAGGCCCCAGCAGGGTAGGGCAGGGGGCTCCCCGTTCCTCATCCATCACAACCCCTCCCAGCAGCTACACTGCCTGACATGAGCCTGGAACTGGAGGTGCGGCCCCTGGCTGTCGCCAGCCTGATCTTGCACCTGGGCCAGGCCCAGGCACCCCCCTACTTGCAGCTGGAGGTGACTGAGAAGCAGGTAGGTGTGGCAGGGGTGGCAGTGCCAGGGCAGTTTGCCTCCTTGTTCTGGTGACCTTAGGAGCAGCACCTGACCCTCTCCTCCCACCCTATCAGGTCCTGCTGCGGGCAGATGATGGAGCAGGGGAGTTCTCCACATCGGTGACCCGCCCCTCAGTGCTATGTGACGGCCAGTGGCACCGCCTGGCAGGTGAGGCCCCTCCTGTGGCCAGGGCACCCTGCCACCCCCAACCCTTCTACAGCTTGGGAGTCAGGCGAGACTCTGGGTGGGGCAGCTTCTTTCGGGGCTGGAGAGGCTGGGCTGGGAGCTGCCTGGACTCAGGAGTCCCCCCCACCCCCACAGTGATGAAAGGCGGGAACATGCTCCGGCTGGAGGTAGATTCGTGGAGCAACCACACTGAGGGCCCCTCGCTGGCGGCCATGGCTAGTGCCACAGTCCCTCTGTATCTTGGGGGCCTGCCTGGTAAGTGCAGCCTTGGCCTGTGGCGGGGGGCGGGGGGGGACTGCCCCTCAGGACCCACCCCCATCCCATCCTTCTGTGATACGGAATGAGGCAGAGGCTGGGTGGGTAACTGATGCCCTGGAAGGGCCCCTGGACCCCGGCTGCCCTCCAACCAGCCCTCTTCCCTCTTCCCTGCTTCCAGAGCCCATGGCTGCGAAGCCCTGGCCCCCCCCCTACCGTGGCTGCATGAGGCGGCTGGTGGTGAACCAGTCCCCCGTCACCATGGCTGGCTCTGCAGAGGTCCATGGGGCAGTAGGGGCTGGTGGCTGCCCGGCCACCTAGGGTGCAGCCACCTCGGCCCCGGCCAGGCCCTGTGCGGTGACTCCCGCCGCCCTCATGCCCTTCTCCTGTTATTGGGACTCTAGGCTCTACCGGTGACAGAGCTTGTTTCTGGAGATGGTTTAAGCTATAACTTTTTGAATGAAAGAATAAGAATAAAATATACAAATGTTCTTATACTTTTTATGGCCCTTCCACCCATTTTTAATTGTGGGAGACTTGTAAATCACTGGTTCCTCCTCCTCAAAAATTAAAAAGCAACTTCTGTGTAATTGAGTGTTGACTTAAATATGGAGAAAAACAGTCTCAAGACAGGTATGGAACTGGCCTAGACACAGGCACCAAACTCAAAGGACTTTCTCTGGGGTCCCACAGCAGCTCTCATACTAGCGGCGCCTGTTTGGCGCTAGAAAACTCCCTTTGGGCAAAGAAAGTGAGCGTTGGCAGGTAAAAGAAAAGACTTTATTATGAGTGGGTAGGACAGGTGAGGGTGTGCCATGCACTGCAGGTGTCTGCCGACGTCACGGGCCGAGCCGGTCCCTCGGCGGACGGCACTCGGGTCAGTCCAGGCTCATGTCCTCCTCCTCGTCCTTCTTGTCCTTCGTGTCGCCCTCTTTCTGCTCGGGCTTGGCGTTGTTCTGCATGGCTTTGGCAAACGCTTCCACATCTGGAACGCATTGGACACAAGGTGGTGTGTAACCCTTGCCCAAGACTGGAATCAATGCAATGGTGTCAAGGGCAGAGAGGCTATGACCTTTGCCCCCTCAGTCCCACTTGTGCAAATCCAGGGGGACAGACAGGAATGTACCCTGCCCTCTGGCTTTGGCCAGGAGGTGCAGCCACTTACCGCCCTTGTTGGCGGCCTCCACGGCCTCTGCAGGCAGACCAAACTGACACATGAGGGGTCCCAGCTGCCCTGAGGCCAAGGCCGCACTGAACATGCCCAGGGCCTGCAAGGAAGAGCCAGGCGCAGGGCTGAGCTTCCCCTGGGCTGCGCCTACAGCCATGCCACTCAGCTGCCAGCTCTGTGGGCCGGGCACAAGAGGCACCAGCCATGGTGAAGGTGGGGCAGGGCCTCCTCCTCCCTCCTGCCCACTTCCTGGGCCCGGCCTCTACCTGCTGGAACTGGGGTGAGGTCAGGGTGTTCTGAATCTCATCTGCGGTCTGTGGCAGTGACTCCCCAGATGGCAAGTAGGGAAGCAGGCGCTCCTGGACGTCCGAGTTGGCAAGGATGGGAGCCATGATCTCCGGCGTCAGCACACTGGCCAGGTCCACTGGGGTGCAAACACAGGGCCATCAGCTTGATGCCAGCCTAAGTGCCCATGCGGAGAGTGTGCAAGCAGGGGCTCAGCCCATGGCCCGACCACCCCAAGTGCACACTGGGCAGACACCTTGGAAGGCGAGCGGGCGTGAGGGGCAGCAGTCTCCGCGGCCCCCAGCTTGGGGGATGACACACTTTGGCACACTTACCTTGCTGGCCGCCTGCCGGCCCGGCCGGCACATTCATGGTGGCCAGGATGCTCTGGAGGTCGCTCAGCTGGATGGGCTGGGTCGGGCTGGCTGCCGTGCTGGCTCCGTTACCAGAACTGGGCGCAGGGCTCGGGCTGGTTGCTGAGGTGGCTGCTGGAGCAGAAGGGGCCGGGGTGGCACGGGTGGAAGAGGTGGTGGATGATGGGGTGACCGCTGCTGACTGGCTCCGGGAGCTGTGGAGAGAGGGCAGGGCTGGAACAGATGCGCCCCACACGGCAGGACCTACTTACAGAGTCTGGGGCACCAGGCCAGGATTCCCTACGTCCCCTCCCTTAACACAGCAGTGCCTGCATGGTGGGGCTAGGGTATGGAGGCTCACCTGGAGGAGGAGCTGCTCCCCGGAGGCCCGCCGCTCCCCAGCAAGCTGGCCAGGCCAGGTCCCGTCAGGGCCCCCAGCCCACCTGCGAGGGGCAAGGGAACGCGAGGTCAGGATATCCTCCAGCTCACCAGGAAGATCCCGGCCCTCCCCAGGCCAGAGGAGGAGGAATTTCCAACACCAAAGCCAGGAACAAGCAGGGCGGCAGGGAACCACGGTCCTGGGGGCAGCAGGGTGGACATGTGGGGCTGTGTGCTGGAGGCGAGATCACTTCTGTTCCATCCCGTTTATACCATTCATGTGCTTAGATTCAAAGCAAACTCAGTCCAGGTCCTACCCAAAGGAACAAGTATTTCTGAAGGGTCAAGCACAGCATTCTGCACTCATTAGCAGCAGCAGGCAGGCAGCCATGTGGGGCCAGGGGACCCTGGGCAGGAACCCCAGCTCACTCCCGTCCTCCAGCCCCGCTGCTCGGCCAGCCATGCTCCAAAGGACCCAGCTGGGGTCCTCACCAGGCGCACAAAAGCCTGTGCCTACCCAGCTTCGGCCACAGGCCAGCGAGCACCTTCCCAAAGGGGAACCAGCTTGGGGACACACAGGCTCCTGACACCACACACACAGCCAGCAGCGGCTTAAGGGAATCACAGCTGGGCCTCGCAGCATTCCCAGCGCAAGCTGCCCGAGAGCCGGGGTGGCACACGTTACCCAGTCCTCCGAGGCCAGCTGGTCCGATGAGCTGCATGAGCTGGCTGTGGCTCATGTTCCCCAGCAGGCTCTGCAGGCCGCCCTCACCTGGAAAACACCTCAGCTCAGGCACGCCAGCCCCACGACACTGCCCAGCCCCCACTCGGCTGCCCCTGAACTCTTGGAATGGGGCAATGGGCAGGACTCAGCCCCATCTTACCCCATGAAAATGGGAGTGGGGACTGCCCCAGGGAGCCTTGTCCCCGTTCACAAATGGGGCCTCTAACTTAGCATCTTCTATTTCCACTTCTAAACAACCTTCGTGGAGGGGCAGTCACCCGCAGTAGACTCTGGCCTCCCAGGAAACCCTGAGCTCATGTGACACACGTGACAGTTACCGCCTAGCGCTGAGAGCTCATGGCCACCGCTCCCGCTGGCCCCCAGCGCCCCGGGCATCGGGGGGTTGTTCAGGTACTCGTTGACTTTCCGGCAGTGCTCCTCGTCCTGGTCTGTCTTGGGTTCCTGCAGAGGCCGGGCGTGTAAGGGCAAGGGCAGGGGCCGGCACCAGCTCTGAGGGCCGCCACAGCCATCCTCTGACCTGGCTTACAGGTGACGGACCTGAGAGGCAAAGGCATGTGTGCCTGGCCACACAGTGCTGCGGAGACAACCCGGCCCAGCAGCTGAGGGGACAGCAGTGGTGCCTCCCGAGCACAATGCTCCGTGCCCCGTCCCCTCTGCCCATTTCACAGATGGGGAGTCTAGATCCCCGAAGGCACTTAGCTGCCACCAAGCCAAGCCCTGTCATCCTCTGGGGTGTGGCTCTTTACACAGTGTCTCCTTCCTTCAACCAGTGGAAGGCAGCAAACTGGCTGGCTCAGCACACCACGGCCCAGGGCCACGGCAGGCCCTCACAGACCAGCACGCATGTGTGCAGCCACATGCGCAGAGCATGGTCAGACAACATCGCCCCATAAGTACCCAGAGCTGGGAAGCAGAGCACCCATGCCATCCCTGAGCACCTCTGGAGGCTGCAGGGAACCAGGGACAGAGGGACTCCCTGCCCTCATGGCAAAGCGGGGAAAGGTGAAGAAAGTCATCAAGGAAAAAAGGGACGGGGTAGTAACGGTTGGACAGTTTTTCCAAAACTGTGGAAAAACACATTCTACACCAGCAGGTGGCAAACTGTGGCCCCATCTGTGCCTGCAAATAAAGTTTAACGCGCCCTCAACTAGGCCTGCTCCTTCTCCCAGGTCACCTGCACGACGCCTGCAGAGGTGAGCATCGGCAACACAGACCAGCTCCCCACAGAGGCCTGTCACACAGGGTCCACCTTGCTCTAGAAAGTGCTGTGGATGGGGGGACGGCAGCTCCACCTCTGGTAGAGCCCCGCATTCTCTCCGCACTGCAAACGCACACACCTTCTGACCACACAGGCCGGCTGCCTGTTTCAACCTACAGATCACACTCTCGCAAGGAAAACACTGCATCTCAGGCAATGCTTTGCGCACTGCCTCTAACAGCACAATGACAACAAGCCCAACAGCCACTGACCAGGTGGCAGAATGACCGGGAAATTCCGGACATGAAGGGCGCTCTGCAGCTGGGGGTCAGAGAAAGCCCAGGCACACCCACGGCCTCCAGGACACACTGCAAGGGAAGGGGCAGGGCTGTGGAGAGCATAGGGAGGATGCATTTCTGGAAGCAACACAGAACAACCTGCCTCCGCTCTGGGTGTGTGCATGCACATGTCATGAGGGCAGGGAGTACCTATGTCCCTGGCGCCCTGCTCCCCAGCTCTGTGTGCTCACGGCTCCATGCTGTCTGACCCTGTCTCTACTTGCCTCAATGAACCCTCTCTCTGGCAAGAGGCAGAGGCGCCAGGCGTCCTTTGAACCAGAGGCAGCATGCCTGCCTGCCTGGAAATTCCACACCACAGTCAGGTGTGCAGAGCCCAGCCTTGGGCCTCTGTACTGGGAGAGGACCTCGGCCCTGGTAACACACACCGCAGCCCTAGGAGCATCTCAGGCCGCCTGGCCGGCGCCCGCCTGTGTTAAACCCAAGTGCACCACACAGTAAGAACGCTACTAACCGAATCGCAGACAGCAAGAAAAGCTCAACGCAAGCCAACCCTGCCCCATACCTGCATCCAGAAGAAAAGCCGCTTGGACCCCGCCTTGAACTTGAGCACGTAGACCCTCCCGCTGGGGCACTGTTGCACCCGCTTGAACTCACAGTCGTCAGGGAAGATGATCAAGTCCTGGCAAGCCGAGGAGGAGAGTCAGCAGCACAGATGGCAGAGCACACCAGGCCCGGGTCTAACGGGGCGAGGTGCACAAAGGGGCAGCTAAACCGCCAGCCCCCTCACTAGCAGGGTTTCCACACAGCAGAGAAGCCACGGTGGGAGACACCCCATGAAAGGCGAGCAGGGTAGGGCCTTTCAGGTGGCAACGTGTGGGGAACAACATTCCCGGAGAGTTAAAAGGTCAGTTCTGAGCGGCTCTCAAATGTAACAAAGAACAATTTAGAGTTTGAAGAACAAAGACGACTACGTGAAGCGGCTTCGCAGAGCTCCAAGTTCTCCAGGGCCGAGGCCTCCAACCCCAGGCACCCCACACGGAAAGTTCAAGATACACAGTGGCCGAGACACCCCTGTCACCGCGAGGACCAGGACGACCCATCAGCAGGGCAGCCGATGACCGCCCCACGAGCGGTCCCCAGATGCGACCAAGCCCCCACCGCGAACTCCCGAGAAGTCGCCTGTCCCGCTGCTGCGGCTCGGGGACACTCACGTCTTCCACGTTCCCGGACGTCCTGTCCTTCCAGCAGAAGTGAATGAGCGAGTCGTCCGTCTGCTGGATGTACACCAGCCCTTTCCGCTTGTCCGGGGTCACGGTGGTCCCCTTCAGGGACATCTTTCCCGCCCGAAACTCCACCAGGTACTTGCTGGAGGCGCCCCGAGAGCCTGGCACCAGGCTTGGGAAAAGCGCGCCTGAGGTCGCCATCCTGAAAGCGCGGAGACGGCGCCGAGGCGTGGCGGTCACTGTGGCCGGCGGTCCGGCCAGCCCCCACCACCCGGGGTGTTTGGAAACCGGGAGCCTGCGCCCAGGGATGCCGAAGGCCTCGCGGGCCCAGTGTACACGGGCACGCCTCGGGCCGGCCACAGAGCCCCAAACGCTGGAGCCTACGGCGGACTGCTTTCCGCGTTTCCCTCCCGCCCGCCGACCGCACCGCCCGCAGTCGGCGCGGGGCCGGGGCAGCCCTGCCGAGACCAGTGGGGTCGGTCCTAGGCGTGACGCCGTCTCCACCGGGCACCAGCCTCGACGCACCGCACCAGCGACCCCCTCCGCGGGGCAGACCCTCCCGAACCCCCGCCGAGCCCCACGCTCAGGGCCGCAGGCGGAGCCCGGGAGGCGCCCAAGACCCCAGAGCCCCCGCCCAGCCCGGCCCCCGCAGGCCCCGCCCGCCGCGCCGGCGCCAGCCCCCTTCTCGTCCTGGCTGCCCCCGCCCCACTCCCTGTCCAGCAGCCCCTGCCCCCGCCTCCGGTCGCCCCTAGCCGTCCCCGGCCCGGCGGCCCCCGCACCTGGCCCGCGCCCACACTCGTTCAAGACGCGCCGTCCGGGATCGCTCTTCCTCCTCGGCGCCTGCCGGGCCTCGCCGGAAGCCCGCGTTTGGCCCGCCCCGCCTGCCGCTCTCGCCGCCGATTGGACCCCGTCGGCCGCGCAGCCCGCCCTAAGCTGCCACCGATTGGCGAGGGTGGCCGTCCATCGCGCTCGCTCCTCCCCGGTCCGCCCCCACGCCGGCGGCTCTTTTCCGGCGGAAGCGTCGGCCCCGGGGCGGGTGGGCCAGAGCGGCCCCTATTGTTGCTGTGTCATAGGGGAGCGGCGGCGGCTCCTAGAGGCGACGCCGGGGACCGCAGGCGGATTTCAGCAGGGCGCTGGGGACCTGCTCAGGTGGGGCCGAGCCCTCCCCTCGGCGTCGCCAGCCCGGGCAGGCCGACTCGTGGGGCGGAGCCAGGGGATAGGCGGAGGCCCAGGAGTCCGGTCCGGCTGTGGGCGGCGGGCACCAGGGCTACGCACAGAAATGACCGTGGATTCAACGCTTCGGGACCCCGGGCAGGAGCTGGAGTCCACGCTTCCGGGAGAGCAGGGGTCCAGGAGGGGAGGACAGGAGTGAGAACGGTGACACGGTCTCAGCTGCAAATGTGTAGTACCGCAGGGTGCGGGAGGGGAGGGGCCCTGGAAGGGAGAGGTCAGGGAGGGGTGGGGTCTTGATGGGGAAGGGTCTCGGAGGGGTGGGCCCGGTGGGTGTGGAGTCTTGGAGGAGAGGGATCCGGGAGGGGTGGGTCAGGAAGGGGAGAGGTGCTAGAAAGGAGGGGTCACGGAGGGGAAAGGGTTCGAGAGGAGAGGGGTGGATCCGGGAGGGCAGAGGTCAGGAGTCACCACCTGGCTGCCTCCGCTCACCCTCTGGACGCCCGGATGGGAAAGGCCACGGAGTAGAAAGGCTGCAGTCGTTCGCCAGTGTCCAGTAACTCTGAGTCACTTGGACACAAACTAAAGGGAAGACGACAGAGACGCTCGTGGAGCCCCAGCAGGCTGCTGCAGAGGGACCCGTTCTGTGGGATTTGCCTACAGCGACGCCAGGCGGGGGCGCTTAGAGGGGCCCGGAGCGGTGGCTCACGCCAGTAATCCCAGCACTTTGGGAGGCCGAGGCGAGCCGATACTTGAGGCCAGGAGTTCAAGCCAGCCTGGGCAACATGGTGAAACACCAGCTCTACTAAAAATACCAAAATTAGCCAGGTGTGGTGGCACATGCTTGTAATCCCAGCTACTCAGAGGGCTGAGGCATAAGAATGGCCTGAACCCCGGGAATTGGAGGTTCCAGTGAGTGGAGATTACGCCACTGCACTCCAGCCTGGGAGACAGAGCGAGACCCCATCACTAAAAATAAAAAATATTAAAAATAAAAATAGGTCAGGCGCTTCTCAAGGGGCCTGAGGTGCAGTGGCCTCGGCGCCCAGGTAAGCGGGACTAGATGTTTGCAGCTGAGACCGTGCCAGCGTCAGGTTCTCGCCTGCCCACCGCTTGCTTCCTTCTCGCCTTCGGAGGCTCCACTCCACTCGGCCGCTCCCTGGGGTCACCCTGTGCTTGGTGGCTCACCCTCCGAGCCTGTGCACAGCTGTGTGCTTACCTGCTCTCTGAGGTCCTCAGGTGTGTGCCCTCACTCACCCTTGCTGGAGATGTGTTGGCATGGACGCTGGCAGCCCCAGCCCTCCCATTCTGAAGGGAGTCTACAGCCCAGGCCTCCACTGTCTCGGGGCAGAGCTTGTCCTGCTCAGTTGCCACTTTTCACTATCATAATGCTTCCAATGGAAACATTTAGTTATCTAAAGATTCAGGTTTTTTGCTTTGAAAAATGTAGCTATTTTTCATTTTAAAATTATGTTAACAAGTAGTTATTTTTATGTAAATAATTTTAAATGTCCTCTTAATTTCTAGTATGGTAAATGTCAATAAACCTCATGTAAACAAAAGCTCTTTGTGGTCCCGTATTTTTAAGAATCTAGAGGGTTCCAGAGTCTAAAGGGGTTGAGGAGGGCTAACACAAAGCTCCAACCCGCTGGCGACAGGTGCCAGTTATCTGTGTCACTGGTACTGCAGCCCCGTCCTCAGGCCCGCGTATTAAACAGGGAAAAGGCGGAAATGAGAAAACCCAATCCAGCTTTCCTGGCACGAGGCTGGCAGGCAAGTGTTGCTTGTTTACGTCACAGACAGTAAAGCAGCCACAGGGGCAATGTGTACAGAAGCCAAGGCAGTGGCCAAGAGGACCCTGGACTCAGTATTTCCTCTTCCTGGGGGCCCTGTGGCTGGGGACAGCTCAAAATACAAAAAACAGAACTCTACCTACGCTTTAAGGCTTCAAGTGAAATTCCCACATTCCTGTGAGCACGCTTGCAGAGAAAAAAGCCGCAGCCAGCCGGCCCGTGCACCCGCTCTGTGCGAGTGTGGGGTGTGGCAGCCGGAGCACCAGCAGCCCTGGAAGCACACACAAGGTGCGGAGGGCTGTGTGACCAGCGCAGCATGGCTATCTTCTAATTGGTCGCTGAGGGCAGTTGGTGGGATATCTACAAAATGCCCACAGCATCTAGAAGAGCAGCCTCACCGGGACAGGTGCATTCGGCTAAAGGATCTGGATTAAGAGATCCTCTAAAGGAGATTTCTATTCAACCTGTTTAGCAAAAAAAAAAAAGACCGCTCCCCAGCCATACACAGTGACTCACACCTTTAATCCCAACACTTGGGAGGCCAAAGTGAGAAGATCCCTTGAAGCCCAGGAGTTCAAGACCAGCTTAACCAATACAGTGAGACCCCGTCTTTACAAAAATACAAATTAAAACAAGGCCAGGCATGGTGTTGCATGCCTGTAGTCTCAGCTACTTGGGCAGCTGAGGTGAAGGTCAAGGCTGCAGTGGGCTGTGACGGCACCACTGCACTCCAGCCTGCGTGACAGAGCAAGACCCTGTCTCAATAAAAGCCCTAAACTGAAGAAAGCACAACCCAACGCTCTCCATGTTGCCACAGGCTCCTCGGGTGAAAGGCTGGGTAGCAGAGCCAGGCTGCACCTCCACGTGGGTGGAAGACACCTCTGGACATTTCACCAAAGAGATCACAGGTGGCAAAGGCATGGTGGCAAGCTGCTCGACACCATAATTCACGAGAGAAATGCAAATTAAATACACCTGCCAGGCTGAAAGCAAATGACGGAAGGTGTCAGCTTCGGTGGGAACATCAGTGGCAGCTACTTGGGAAAAGTGTTCATCCGGGGTAGGGTTTTTTTTAAACTTTTTTTTTTTTTCTTGAGACAGAGTCTCGCTCTATCCCTCAGGCTGGAGTGCAGTGGCTCGATCTCAGCTCACGGCAGCCTCCTCCCAGGTTCAAGCGGGTTCAAGCAGTTCACCTGGCTCAGCCTCTTGAGTAGCTGGGATTACAGGCATCCGCCACCACGTCCAGCTAATCTTCGAATTTTTAGTAGAGACGGGGTTTCACCATGTTGGCCAGGCTGGTCTCGACCTCCCAAAGAGCTGGGATTACAAGCATGAGCCACCGCGCCTCTCGGGGTTTTCTTTTTTTTTTAACATTTAAAAAACAGACAAGTCACAACCAAGCGGAAGGTAAAGAGTTCTGGTTCCCCTGGGTGCTCTGTGGGCTGCACCAACGCCGGGTCAGCACCCAGTGTCGGCCATTTGTCACAGCCCACCATCGGTCCGTCTGTGCTGCCGTAACACCTCCCCTGACCAGGCAGTTTATAAAGGACAGAAACTCACTTTCTTGCCGTTCTGCAGGTTAGGAAGTCAGCGTCAATGGGGCGGCAGGCCTGGCTGTCTGGTGACAGCTGCTCTCTGCATCTGACATGGTGCTGATGATCTGTGGGGCAGACCAGGCAGGGTGGGCTGTGCCTCCCGGAACTCCAGGCTCAGGCAGTGATGGTGGAGCCCCACAGCCACACACCTGGAGCATTCCAAGGGCATGGACGTCTCAAGGACTGTCTGTCCCTCTGCCCCAGTCACAGCGACCACTGGGACAACTGTGTCTGCCCAGCTCACCCTCCTGAAAAGCACCAAGCTGCTGGGGCCACTCAGGGCAGAGGCAGGCAGCCAGAACCTGCGGGTGGTGGTGACCCCACGCTCTGACCCCCACACTCTGGGCACTTCACTGCTTCTACAGCAGTAGCTGCCAGGGGAGGGGGGTCCATCAGAACCTCCTGCTGCTTGGAGAACCTGGGCGAGCCATCCACCACGTGTGCTGCCTGACAAGTGTCACAAGTGTCCCCCAGTCCCCTCTCCACAGGGCAGTTTTTGGAAACGAGCCATTTGCTTGGCCAGTTCTCAAGAACACACAGTCAACCTCTGGTGACTGGGCATGAGGACTCATTCATAGCCGATTTGTGGCCCTTTTCAAAATGGCCAGAATGGCTGAGATGGTGAAAAACTGCTCAATGTAAAACAAATGTCACGTGCCGCCCATCCTCAGTATCTTCATTCAGAACTTGGAGGCTAACATTTTCACAGATGTATACACAGTCCTCCAAAAAATATGCTGACTGTGTTAATGCAGACTGGCACTGACAGTTATTAAATACGATCAAATAAGTGTGCTCTGCTGGCATCTTTTCTCAGCTGCCGTGTCCACGCTGCCTGGTGGGATGAATGGCACTGGAGGAGCAGGTGGGCACAGGCACAACGGGGGCTGAGGGCCTTCGACGCATGGGTGGCAGGAACACCCGGCTGCGCACACCATTGCCCTCTGCAGAGCCGCCATCACTCTCCTAAAGATCTGGCCACAGCAGTCTTGCTTCCAAAGCCCACCCAGTGAAGGGCCGGCTATAAAGTGAACTTTGTACCCAGAGATGGCAAACATGGCTTTTGCCTTGCAGAAATCTTCCATTAGCCTGTAGAAAACGGTGAGGAACCATCATTTGAGGGGTCCCAAGGGAGCCACAGCCATGTTCTCTGCCACAGTAGGGTCCTTGTCTTTCGTGCCCACTTTACACACAGGCAAGTCCAGATGTGGCCATCAGAGAAAACTGTCGGGACTTCCTGCAGATGGACTGAACTCTCCTCTGGATCCCACTGCGCCCCTTCCCTGTGCCCTGTGAATTCAGGGTTGCCCAGCACAATGGGAAGCTCATTAGAACTCATCACCCTCTTCACTTTGTTTTCCATCAGGGAAATGACAACGACTTGTATAAACCTGTAAATCCCCATTTCTGCTGGGGAGAAATTTTCCCCAAAGAGCAGGATGCCTTGTGAGGAGGCCTCTAGGCATTTCTCTTGTCCTGTTTTAACCTCCTGACCTTGTGTTCAGATGTGCCTGGCAAGCTGTGGCAGGTCCTTGGTGTTCCATGCCAATGCCCCAGATGGAGAGCTCCATGCTGACACGTGGACAGTGGGGCACCCAGAGGCCATCAGGGTGGCACATGGCACTTCTCCAAGAGCTGGGTCCTGCTGGGTCTGACATTTGTGTCCCCTGCACCAGACTGCTTATCGGGCAGAGTTGTAGCCCTGACAAAGATGTGAACTCTGGGGCTGGCGTCTGGAAGGGGCAGTGAGCACCTGCAGGGAGCAGGCTGGGGTTCCCTGCAGGCACCACTCTTCCCGTGCCGGCTTTCCCACTTGCTCACGGAGGCTGAGAAACATGGCACACACAGGTGGCTCCCCTCATCGAGGCATCTGGGCTGCTGGCTCCCTCTCCTTCCAGACAGCAGTCTCTGGAGGGTCTGGCCTCAGGGCAGCAGCAGAACACCAGACACCCATCAGGGCCGGGGACCAGGGCCAGCTGTCCCCACTTCCCACAACCCAAGCCTTGCCCAGTGAGAAGGCTGCAGGTGCTGGTGACAGCTGACCCTTCACCCACCTTGGACACCAGGGCAGGGCAGATGTTTTATGTGGCCAGAGGCACAGATCCACGCCGTCATCCCGAATGAGGCTGGTGAGCAGCAGCATGTGCTGTGAAGCCAACACGTGCTCCACATACAGCTCTCCAGGATGTGCGCGCGCCCATTCACCTCTATCTCCAGGGGCTCACAATGCACGTGTCCTGAACCGATGACCATGGAGCCCAATTCTAATTTCAGTGAGGAGCAAATCAAATCCAGGTATTAGGTTCTGTAGGGAAAAAGCCTGCTAGATTTTTCATTCCACAAGGACATCCTAAGTTACAGGATTAATTTTAAAAGAACCAAGGGCCTCGCACAGTGGCTCACACCTGTAATCCCAGCACTTCAGGAGACAGAGGCAGGAGGATTACTTGAGCCAAGGAGGTTGAGACCAGCTTGGGCAATATAGTGAGACCCTGTCTCTACAAAACACACTTTTTAAAAATAGCCAGGTTTGGTGGCATGCTCCTATGGTCCCAGCTATTTGGAAGCTGAGGCTGGAGGACTGCTGGAGCGCAGGAGGTCAAGGCTGCAGTGAGCTGTGACTGCGCCACTGCACTCCAGCCTGGGCAACTGATCCTGTCTGTAAAAGTGAATAAAGCACTGAGACCCTGGGTCAAGGCCACACTCGCAGCCAAACGTGTGGCCCACGAGAAGGCCATCACTTTCCACACGTGAAGGGGTGGCATCTTTATTAGAGAGGTTTGACATTCAATAGATATCAAAGGTGACCAAAGGCAGGTGATAGTTTGTGTGTTAGCATTTGCAGAAACAACAAAAAATCATAAAAAATTAAAATAACCCCGACAGACGGCTGCTTTCACAATCACCTTCCTGCTGTTCTTCCTCCACCTGCGCTCAAGGACAGCAGCAGTGGGGCTGTCTGTGCAGCCCACGAGCCCCTGAAATACCAGGAGCCTGGCCCTGGGAGAGAACATGGAACCACATCCATTGGCAAATTACCTTCAGCAGTGAAGAGTGGAATGATCAGCAAGAAGCCGCTAAACTTCCTGACACACAGTCGTTTTCAGTGTGTCCGAGTCTCACCCTTTGATGTTCGCAGCTTTCAGTCTCTCTTGGAGAATGAGCCCGTTCACAAGCACAGTCCGGGGAAGCAGATGAGCCTCCACCAGAGGCACGTGGGCTCCGCATTCCGGTCATCGGGGATTTCAGTCTCCTCCTGGAATCACGTCACAACCCTAAATCCTCAGACCCATCTGAAAGTCACCGAGTGGTTCTGCTCAGACGCTTCTGAGTGGCTGGTTCAGAGATCAAGGCCCAGGGGATAACACAGGACTGAGCCCCAGACACCATCTTTCCAGTTTCCAAAGCTACGAAATCAAGCTTTCAAAACGAGCGTCTGCTTCCAGCACTGCTTCCGTTACAGAGGTGACGTTAAAGCCTTGACACACGCCAGTGCCACCCCCCATTCAGAAGTACTGGCCTTAGTAACCCGCACTCCATGCAGCTGTGTGTGTGCATGTGTGTGCACACAACTGATGGTGTTTCAAAGTGGTCCACTGTGAGCTCTTGTGCTGACACTTCTATATAAAGAAAATCAGTCATGGCCGGGCACGGTGGCTCACGCCTGTAATCCCAGCACTTTGGGAGGCCGAGTCAGGCGGATCACCTGAGGTTGGGAGTTCCAGACCAGCCTGACCAACATGGTGAAACCCCGTCTCTACTAAAAATACAAAAATTAGCTGGGCATGGTGATGGGCACCTGCAGTCCCAGCTACTCGGGAGGCTGAGGCAGAACTGCTTGAACCTGGGAGGCTGAGGCTGCAATAAGCCAAGATCGCACCATTGCACTCCAGTGTGGGAGACAAGAACAAAACTCCGTCTCAAAAAAAAAAAAAAAAAAAAAAAAGGAAAATCACTCACTTGATAAAGGTGAATGCTGAGATGGACGCATACCTATTTGGTTACCTAACTTTAATTACACCACTGTAAGTAGATTCTGCCTCTGAACCAGATGTGACTCTTATCACTTCTATTTTATACATGCATACTGGGAAAAACAGAAACACAGAGTGCTATGGATACAGGCAAAGTGTCATTAAGAAATGACCCCGTGGAGACTTGGACGCGGTGCGCGGAGACGGCTGGGCCTTGCTGGCCACAGCGCATGCGCGGCGGAGCCGTCTGGGGATTTCGCGTCCAACTCTCAATGCTTCTGCCCGCTCTGGGTGTTCATGGTGAAGCTTCATTTTGGCCAGTATAAACCGGTGATTAATGCATATCTTGCTCTTCAGCAAAATACTATTCAAGTAGTTTTAACTTAAATATTTTAAAAGTAATCTTTACATTATTGAAGACTGTTAAAAAATACAGACTCTGACAACTTTTCACTCAATCTGATGCTTTGAAAATCTTCACTTCTGTCTTACCGTAATTTAGAAAGCAATCCTGGCCTTTATAAAGCTCTCTGCAGGATTATTTTCAAGATCCATCTTTCCCCCACTGGTTCGAGATTAAAAGGCTTTCAGAAACCTTTTGCCACTGCATTATAAGGAGAACATGGACCCTTCCCATACTTTCTTTAGCTACAAATTCTATGGCTGAGAGTGCCGGACGCTAGCTAAACAAGCCCCAGCTGATTTCTGCTACCTCAAAGGGGGCCATGAAGAATTTCCCTGTCGAAACCTTAATGAAGACGATGATCCCACGTGAAGCTTTATGAAGAGACTGCACAGCAGAGTGAAATGTTTGGCAATCAACAGTGAATCAGAATTACGTCCTTGATTGGGGATGGTGCTATCTCCACAAACAATCATTAGAAAAGTTGGCTTCTGCTGTGACAAAGCTCAGAGTGGCCACCCGAGGGAGTCCAGACTCACGGGCCTCCAGTCCCGGCCCCAGGACCCTCCAGTCCCTCAGTAGATATCTGGGCAGTCAGAGAAATTCCGCTCGAAGTAATCCCCTGCATACAACCAGTCAGGAGTCCCAGTGTAGGGGTTGTTGCCTGGGTAGAACCACCTGCCGGACACAAGGGAGGGGTCAGAAGATGCTCAGCCCAAAAAGAAAACGCAGCCCTGGTTCTTCTGGGTGCAGGAGTCTGCTCCCCTCATTCAGCACCATGACAGTAACATGGGTTTTAAAATGCAGCCCAGGGTAACAACTTCAACTGAGAATTACTGATCACGTGGTCACGTGAATGCTGGAACCTAGAGAGACCCAGCCACCCATGTCGGTTTCACTTCCCGACAGCATCTGGAGGGTTGAACTCAACACAAAACCCTCACACTGGGCCCTTATCAGGGAAGTTGCTGGAGCCTAAGAAATGTTTCTCCCTTTTCAAGTCAAGAGCAGTCACACTACTCACACTTGCTTTCATTTAAAGCAAACCAAGTATTTGTTTTTTTAATTGAGCACAAAGGAAGACATTCTAGGCAAAGAGGTGGCAGCACTGGGCCCGGTTCAGCCCCCATCCACAGCCCCGGCTGGCACTCAGGGCCCCAGGTCCCTAGGGGCATCCTTAGTGTTGGGGCCATCGGGGTAGGGGGACTCACAAGGGAGAAGCCATTTTCTTCAAAGGACAAAAGATCATTTTTTTCACAGTATTTTTTTTAACACTTAAAAAAAAAACAATGAACAAAGGTTACCTATTTTGAAGCTGATTTTCCTCTGGATTACAGGCAAATTGTAAATAGCAAACCATTAGAAGGCTAATATTAAATTGAAAGCCCAAAACAGTAAGAATTGGTTTCAAAAATGCCAGGCACAGAAGTCACTGGGTATCACTGTTACAGAGGCTTCAAAACAAATCCTGTAAGCATGTGGCCTAACAGAATGAAAATGGCTCAAAAACACCTGAAGATTTTTGTAACGGACTAACATTTTTTACTTATATATACATTTTAAAATTATGCTTATTACAGTACATTATTGACTGAATCCTTATTAAACAGTTCTTTGTCTTATGACTATTACAGAAAAAAATACACCCAGCTTTGGACGGTTCAGGAAACAGGAATAGTGTCCCCGCAGCTGATGCTGTCTGGTGCTTCGGTGAGACCCACGTGTGCACAGATGCCACAGCACAGTGCATGGCATTTGAATTTCACAAAACCTTTCCGGGTCACGACGTGAGAGCAGCCTGGGCAGTGCTGACCGGAATATGTGGTATTGGTGCAGCGGACGTGGCCTCCACACAGTGCTCCGTGCCCAAACATGGGGGCTGTGGCCCCTGGGGGACCTCACCTATACACTCACCATATATACACTGAAGGGAACAGTCACATTCAGACAACATTTTCTCTTTAACTTTGCCACAGCTGAGAAGAAAGCTTTGGGCCAACACACCATGAGGCCCAGCAGAAGACCCAGGTCTGAGGTGACAGGCGCTCTGCACAGGCCACCCCCAGCCAGGTGGTCTTGGCAAGGTATGTGCTAAACTGGGACTGGTTCTTACCTGTGCAGTGGGACCCGCATGCACAGGGGCAGCTGGGCAGCTGCAGGTGTCACTACCTTAATGGAGCCATGGAAAAGCAACTGGTCAGCCACAGGGGTATGCGGTGGTGAGAAGGCTCCTTCACTGTCCCTGGGTGTGTGTGTGTGTCTCCTCACTGTCCCCAGGTGTGTGTGTGTGTGGGGGTCTCCTCACTGTCCCTGGGTGTGTGTGTGGGGGGTCTCCTCACTTTCCCTGGGTGTGTGTGTGTGTCTCCTCACTGTCCCTGGGTGTGTGTGTGTGTGTGTGTTTCCTCACTGTCCCCGGGTGTGTATCTCCTCACTGTCCCTGGGTGTGTCTCCTCACTGTCCCTGGGTGTGTGTGTCTCCTCACTGTACCCAGTGTGTGTCTCCTCACTGTCCCTGGGTGTGTGTGTGGGGGGGGTCTCCTCACTGTCCCTGGGTGTGTGTGTGTGGGGTCTCCTTACTGTCCCTGGGTGTGTGTATCTCCTCACTGTACCCGATGTGTGTGTGTGTGTGTGTCTCCTCACTGTCCCCAGGTGTGTGTCTCCTCACTGTCCCTGGGTGTGTGTGTGTCTCCTCACTGTCCCTGGGTGTGTGTGTGTGTCTCCTCACTGTCCCTGGGTGTGTGCGTGTGTGTGTCTCCTCACTGTCCCTGGGTGTGTGTGTCTCCTCACTGTCCCTGGGTGTGTGTCTCCTCACTGTCCCTGGGGGTGTGTGTGTGTGTCTCCTCACTGTCCCCGGGTGTTTGTGTGTGGGGGTCTCCTCACTGTCCCCGGGTGTGTGTGTGTCTCCTCACTGTCCCTGGGTGGGTGTGTGTGTGGGTCTCCTCATTGTCCCCAGGTGTCTGTGTGTGTGTGTGTCTCCTCACTGTCCCTGGGTGGGTGTGTGTGTGGGTCTCCTCATTGTCCCCAGGTGTCTGTGTGTGTGTGTCTCCTCACTGTCCCTGGGTGGGTGTGTGTGTGGGTCTCCTCATTGTCCCCAGGTGTCTGTGTGTGTGTGTCTCCTCACTGTCCCTGGGGGTGTGTGTGTGGGTCTCCTCACTGTCCCCGGGTGTTTGTGTGTGGGGGTCTCCTCACTGTCCCCGGGTGTGTGTGTGTCTCCTCACTGTCCCTGGGTGTGTGTGTGTGGGTCTCCTCACTGTCCCCGGGTGTGTGTGTGTGTGTGTGTGTGTCTCCTCACTGTCCCTGGGTGTGTGTATGTGGGGGGGTCTCCTCACTGTCCCCGGGGGGGTGTGTGTGTGTGTGTGTGTGTGTCTCCTCACTATCCCAGGATTGTGTGTGTGTGCCTCCTCACTGTTCCTGGGTGTGTATGAAGCCTCCTCACTGTCCCTGGGTGTCCTTGCTGCCCCACCCTGTGTGGCTACCATCACGCTCACCTGGTCTGCCACTCCGCCGCCTCCTTGGCACGCTCCCTCCGTGCTTCTCTCTGCTTCTCCTCCAGCCGCTCCTTCTCTTGGCTGGCCAGATCTAGGATCCAAGTAAATAGCTCAGGTCAGAGACCTTAGAACCAACCCCCACCCCCCAGGCACCTAGACCTCTTAGATGGCATGTCCTACTGTGGCTAGAAAGCCACAGACAACAGGTTTTGTCATCAGGAGACCAAACGTAATCAGAGCTGCTGAGGCCAGCTGCCCCTGCAGCAGCAGGGCCCCTGCTAAATGGAGCTCAGTAGAGCATGGGGCTGCATGTGCTGCGTGTTCTCCAACAGGCTACTCAAGGTATGGTCTGCAGTGCAGCAGTCTGGAGCTCACGCAGGGCCCTAGCACCACCTGAGACCCTAGTTTCAAGAGGGCACTCAGGAAGGAGAGTCGGCCCAATCACTGGCTGTGCAAATCACAGCCCATCTCTCAACAGAGACAAGCTCCATTTCGACTTAGCCTTCCATTTCCTACCACGTGGCTTCCATTTCCTAACTGCCACGTGGCTTCTCAGTGTGACCGGGGTTTCTCTCCTAAAACATCACTAACTCAAGCGAGGCACAGTGGCTCATGCGTGCCTGCAATCCCAGCACTTAGGACACTTAGGAGGCCTGGGGCAGGCAGATTGCTTGAACCCAAGAGTTGGAGACCAGCCTGGGTAACACAGCAAAACCCCATCTCCATAAAAAATAAAAAAATTAGGCCTGGCACAGTGGCTCACGCCTGTAATCCCAGCACTTTGGGAGGCCCAGGTGGGGACAATCATGAGGTCAGGAGTTCGAGAGGAGCCTTGCCAACATGGTGAAACCCCATCTCTACTAAAAATACAAAAAATTAGCCAGGTGTGGTGGCAGGTGCCTGTAATCCCAGCTACTCTGGAGGCTGAAGCAGAAGAATTGCTTAAACCTGTGAGGCAGAGATTGCAGTGGGCTAAGATTGTGCCACTGCACTCCAGAAGGGGCAACAAGAGTGAAACTCCATCTCAAAAAAAAAAAAAAACAACAACAAAAACAAAACCTCGCAAAAATTAGCAGGGTGTGGTGGCATGCACTTATAGTCCCAGCTACTTGGGAGGCTGAGGCAGGAGAATTGCTTGAACCTGGGAGGTTGAGGCTGCAGTGATTGTACCACTGCACTCCAGCCTGGGTGACAGACATCCCAACTCTAAAAACAAACAAACAAATAAATAAAATATCACTAACTCAAAACCTAGGACACTTTAAATATGCCTCCCTAGCCAGAAGTTCCACTGCAGATTCGACCTAGATGAGTAAGTCGTGCACCTGCCATGCTGCAGATGAATGCTGCGTGCTCACTGGGAGTGTGAGGCTGCAGGACACGCCATGCACGTGCAGTGACGGCACCGATGGCTGCACGGATCCTCATGGTGGAACACGTGCAGTTTTCAAAATGTCACCTTAACTTCTGTTTAATATTAAAAAATCAGAAACTCTCACTTTGTTTTTGAGATAGGGTCTCTGCCTCCTGGGTTCAAGCAATCCTTCTGCCTCAGCCTCCAGAGTAGCTGGGATTACAAGCACATGCCACCAAGCATGCCAAACTTCTTACATTTTTAGCAGAGACAGTGTTTCAGCATGTTGGCCAGGCTGGTTTTGAACTCCTGACCTCAGGTGATCCACCCACCTCGGCCTCCCAAAGTGCTGGGATTACAGGCGTGAGCCACCACACCTGGCCTAGGACTTGTACTTTCTGCGTATTCTTTTTCATTTCACTTTCTAGTAATGTAAATTTATTTACAAATTTATTTAGCTTATTTACAAAAAGGTTTGGTCTGAGGCAGGTGAGAGCTCTTCAAAGTCCTTTGCCGCAGATGGTCTGAGAAGCCTGGCTCTAGAAAGCCGTGGCCTGCTTGTTTGTTTAGGGAAAGGGACCGCCCCCCTGAAGGGGAGAGCCTGGCTTCTGCCAGCGGGTGCTTTGTACTCCCCACCCTAGCTGGCCGTCCTTGGCCCCAGCTCCCCTCTCTGGCAGTGTAGCACGCACCCATGTCGCCATTCTCCATGCCGCGGATGTCAGGGCGCAGGCGGCAGTCCGTGGGCGGCAGGGTCTTCTCCATGCCCGTCTCCAGCTCATTGAGGCTCACAGTGAAACTGGTGAAATTATACATCTGCGGAGCAGACACAGGGACGCGGCCTCAGCAGGGCCGCTGAGCCACAGACCATGCTCCGAGACCCCCAGTAGGCCCTGGAAACCCTGCAGGTGCTACCTGACTGCCACGTCCAGAACCCACTTCCGCTCGAGCTGTCGCACAAATGTAATGCCTCTGCCATCTTCACTAAGCACTTATCTTGTGCTGCACCTGTAACGTTTGCAGTCTGAGGTGTGACAGCAAAACACACACGTTTCTTTTTCTGTCATCACAATGTCATCGACAGATTTGTCACCAGCTTGCTGGAAACACTCTGGCCAAGGCCACCTGTCTCCCACTGCTAAACTCTCAGCTTGCACCTGCTCCTTCCCTGCCCTCACCACACCTGCCCGCGGTCCCTCCTCTCTACTCTCCAGCTGCCAAAGCCTCAGCCCTGGGAGCAAGTTAACCTGTCATGTCAAAAACTGAAATGCTTAGGGTATGACAGTCACCCCGTGCCCAGGATGCCCTGAGCCTTGCTCTGCCTCGCTTCTGGCTTGCAGCTCTGTCTGCTCAGTGCCTCTTGGACAGCACACCCAGGAAGGCCTGCTGCAGCACTCTGCACCCACGGTCTGCATCCCTCATGGCCCTGGGACCTCTCAGGTCCTCCCGCCACAGCCAGGCCCTCCAGCTGCCACCCGTGTCCTCCCTCTTCTGTTGCCCCTACGGCATCTCAAACAGCCAGAAGGGCCACAGGAAACATCAACCGTCACCCCCTGCTTAAATGACTTCCATGGTGTCCCATGTCATTCAGAGCAAAAGCTGAAGTCATCTGGGGACCCCTGCACCCTTCCACCCTCATCCCCATGGCTCCCTTAGGCCTTCTGGCCCTCACACACTAGTCTACTCCAGGGGGTTCTGCCCTGGCTGCCCCCTCTGCCCAAATGCAATCACTGGACAACCCCCACTCCATGACCAAAGCCACAGCACTCAGATGCCCTCACTGGCACCTAAGGCACCACTGGGTTCTCAAGCATGAGTCCACCACCTGCCCTGCCTCCCTGCTGGGGCCTCGTCCGCCTGGTCCTTGTGCCCAGGCCCACAGTGCCTGGCAGGCAGGTGGACTCAACACATATGCTGAGCCAAAGGCTGGAAGCACAAGTTATCTTGAAAGAGATTTCCATGGAAAAAAAAATCCAAAATACCAATAGTATCATTGGCAGGCCACAGTGTCTCATGCCTGTGATCCCAGCAACTCAGGAGGCCAAGGCAGGAAGGCTGCTTGAGGCCAGAAGTTCGAGACCAGCGTGGGAAACATAGGAAGACCTCCTCTCTACAAAAAATAGAAAATTAGTCTGGTATGGTGGCACACGCCTGTGGTCCTAGCTACTCAGGAGCCTGAGGCAGGAGGATCACTTGAGCCCAGCAGCTGGAGACTGCAGTGAGATCCCGCCACTGCACTGCAGCCTGGGTGACAGAGTGACACTCTGCCTCTATTAAAAAAGAAAACAGCACTGTTAGACCCGTTCATGCTGTACTCAAATAATGACAGTGACTGTTGAGGCAATGTGCTCAGAGGTGAAGATTTTGCTCCTTTTCTGTATTTTACATGTTCTGCTCTGTTTATGGGACATACAAAACTTTTTAAGTTGCATATATTTTGTATATAAATAAGAATTTATAAAAGATATCAAGATATTAATTTGGTTATATTTATCATAAACCACATATCAATTATTTTGTTATATATATGTAAGACATGTCATTTACCATATATTTAATAAAATTATCAGTGTAATTTTCAAAAATAAATATCACAATGTATTTAAGCACGTGAACTGACAAGTTAGAAAACAATTTCCCAGGGCAGGTCTGGAGGCCTCTGTGGTAAGACACACTCAGTGCAGGCCTTGACAGGCAATGGCCATGTGCCTGTCTGATGTTCCTGGGAAGAGCACGTGTGTGCCCCGCAGGCGGCTCTGACACACAGCTGAGCGTGCGTCGGTACCTCGACCTGCACGTCCTGCGGAGCAGCGGTGTTGATCCCAACAGCAGGCTTCGAGACCAGCAGGTAGGCACAGGCCGGGATGCAGCTCCAGGGAGAGCAGAGGCCCACCCCACTGGCGAAGGCCCCTCCATCTGCTCAGGGACAACAGGCTCAGGCGAGGTGGCAGACAAGGGCCCAAGGACAGGGAAGAGCAGAGGGGCTGGCCTGGGATGTCTCAAGGCAGGTCTGACCTGGGCAGGCAGAGGCGTCAGGCCACAGAGGGGCACAGACCTGGGCAGAGTTGGGGGGCCGCGTGTTGATCCTCCAGAGCAGCTTGCTGCCAGGGATGACCTGCACGGTCTCCTGGGCTACAGGCACGTCGTCAGCCACATCACTCTCAGCCTTCCTGGAGCTGTCCTCCTGAAACACAGAACCCTGCTGTGTGGCCACCCGGGGCCAGGCCACCTTTGGCTGGGAGGACAGGTATTCTCAGAGTGCTTTTCAGACCAGTCACCATGCCTGAGCACAGCCAGGCGGCCTTGGCCTTTTTTTTCCTTTTTTTTTTTTTGAGACAGAATTTCACTCTTGTGGCCCAGGCTGGAGTGCAATGGCGAGACCTAGGCTCACTGCAACCTCCACCTCCCAAGTTCAAGCGATTCTCCTGCCTCAGCCTCCTGAGTAGCTGGGATTACAAGCACTCGCCACCACTCCCAGCTAATTTTTTGTATTTTTCGTAGAGATAGGGTTTTACTATGTTGGCCAGGCTGGTCTTGAACTCCTGATCTCAGGCAATCCACTCACCTCGGCCTCCAAAAGTGCTGCAATTACAGGCATGAGCCACCACGCCCAGCCTTTTTTTTCTTAAACTAAGGAGAAAATCGAATTTCCTCCCTAGTCTATCCCCTGTCTGTCACTATTCGGAGAGGAGCCGGGCCCCAGTCCCTAAAGCAGCTCACGCTCCCTTCATGGGGACATGCTGTCTACTCTGACACTCAGAAGATGACAAGTCGGTAACAGGGCGTGTTTCCTTTGGGGAGAAGCAGGCATGTGAAAGGGCGCTCTATGGAGTCTGAGCATTGCTGTATGGGCGATGCCTTCCACATAACACGTTCATTCACGCTCATGGCGCCTCTCCAGAAGGCAGGCTCTGGGACTGAGAGCCTTCCTAGATGGGGCAGTTTTGTCCTCCATCAAGAAGTGACTCGTGTGGGGGTTTCAGGATCTCTCGGCATCTCAGACAGAACCCACTGTACAGCACACCCTAATGAGAAGACAAAACCTGCCACGTTGCTTTTCAAAAGGAAGAGAATGGTTACCAGATGCTGCTGTTCAGGGAGACTACTGAAAACAAGGGAGTCAAGCCCTGGGCTTCCTGCATCAGTGGGGCTGTGTTACACTGGCTGTGGGCCACTTGGCCTGAGGCCGGGTGAGGGAGAGCCGAGGTTCAAGGACAAGCATTCACAGAAAACACTCCTGTTTCTAGGTCACCTCCAGGAGCAGGAAAGCATCAAAAGACATCGCTAAATGGGTTTACCCTTCCAGGCCTGTGGAGTCTGTAAGCAGAATTTCACCTTTTTAAATAAAAAAGGATTAGAAAAGGTGTCTACCGGCACACATCAAATACTACAATGTAAAAACACTTAGGATCCTGGAGGAGGCTGAATGTTTTCGTGAAATAGTGAACGATTCAGGTTTGGTGTGTTCCAATTCACTACGTAGAAAGTGTGACACCTCTTTTGAACTATCACTTATTTTTAAGCTCAAGAACAACCAGTCTTAAGGTAATCAGTACACCAAAGCTCTTGGGGAAAACCTTGCCAATACTTTCTGGCTGTTGAATATATTATCTGGTACTCACAACTAAAAACAGAAAATTGAATTTCACTTTATTTTTTAAACATATCTAAGTTAATTTGAAGAAAGCGAGATTTACTAAGAAGGACCCAGAAGTTGGAGCTTCCAGAAAAGTAACAGCCTTGCATGAGGTTCCCTCAGGTACTTCTAGCCATGGGGGCAGGGGACTATGACTCCAGGGCACCGGTGCCCACCGTTTATAGCAGCAGCCTCTGTGCAACTGAAATATAGATATATCGGCTGGGTGTTGTGGCTCATGCCTGTGATCCCAGTATTTTGGCAGGTTGAGGCGGGAGAACTGCTTGAGCCCAGGAGTTCAAGACTAGCCTATGAGACATAGCAAGACCCCAACGTTATGAAAAAATAAAAATAAAATTTAGCCAGGCGTGGTGGTGCACACCTACAGTCCTCGCCACTTAGGAGGCTAAGGAGGGAGGATCACTTGAGCCTGGTAACTAGAGGCTGGAAAAAAAAACAGAAAGAAATACAGATAAACTCCCCACCAATACTAGAACCCACAACAACACGCAGTTAATCTGGACAAATTCTGCATGTTCATCTCTCCTGGTGGGGGCCAAAGGCTCCCTGGGCCCCCGACAGGTAAGCTAAGGGCCGCAGCACCTGACAGCCCTCAGCACCCAGGGCACAGTTCTCCCGGGGCGCCCCAGCCCTTACCGGCTTGGCCTTCCTCAGGTGGTCGCCTCTCCTCTCCTGCTTCTTGAAGGATTCATACGAAGCGTGATCTATGCCCCACAAACATTCCGTCCACTTGCCATAGATCATAAAGAGCTTCTTTTTGCTATAATTAAATGAGATTTGTAAAGCCAAGTTTTAGTCATCACAAACCATTTGTCTAAACATGCAGCACCTTAATTTTGCCCCTGGAATAAATTCCCCTCAGGCACGTCTTCTTATGCCTTTTGGGACATCTCTGGACATAAACGCAAAGGTGAAAATTTGCATTCTGGGACCATTCCTAGCCCTGAAACACACCAAGGAAAGGAAAATGAAGGGCCGGAAACCCAACGGACAGATGGCCCACGGGGCTGCGGGAGGTGGGAGGGGGCGAAGAAAGGGAGCTTTTTAAGGTGAAAAGCTGCCTGCGCCCACTGCCGGTCTGAAACACACTGAATGTGCACGTGTCCTTCAGTGCTTTTCTATCAACAGGGCTGTCAACACTGCTGGGTCTTTGCTTCCCCACCTGCCTTTTTTCATCAAAAGCAACCCCGAGACCTGTGCAGAGCAGCCACCAGAGCTCCTGATTCCAAAAGGGATGGAGCCAAATAGTGCCAGGCTCCGTTCTCTTTCTTTTGGCCTCTTGCTGGGAAGAGTCCACCGCAACCACAGACCCCCTGGAAGTGTGGCTCTGACAGGCCCAAGACCCTACAGAGCCAGCACACGGGCACAGGGAACTGGGCCAGGCCTCACCTAGCAGACGGCCTGGGGACAACTCTATTTCTCCAAGGATGAGACACCCTTAATTTAGGATGAAAAACCAGAAAAGCAAAACACGCCTTACACGCGCTCACTGAGGACAGCAAGTGCCGGCCTCGGCGCCCCTGCCCATTTCTGGAAACTGACATCCAGCTGCTCCCTGGGCTGAGTTCCACGGGGGGGGATCAAGGTGACTGCCACCTCATCATAAACTGCTGTCCCTTCTAGGTCCACACATTTATCCTCTCATGTTTTAGGGGAGAAATGGTCAGTTATAAGCCTGGGCATTTTATTTTACAGGCTGTTGAAACAGGTGCATTTCTGACACACAGCAGAGGGTGGACAGAGCAGAAGCATCACCCGTCTTATTTTTTTTGAGATGGAGTCTTGCTCTGCCATCCAGGCTGGAGTGCAGTGGCATGATCTCAGCTCACTGCAACCTCCACCTCCTGGGCTCAAGTGATTCTCGTGCCTCAGCCTCCCGAGTAGCTGGGATTACAGACATGCACCACCATGCCCAGCTAAGTTTTGTATTTTTAGTACAGACAGGGTTTCACCATATTGGCCAGGCTGGTCTTGAACTCCTGGCCTCATGTGATCTGCTCACCTCAGCCTCCCAAAGTGATGGAATTATAGGCATGAGCCACTGCACCTGGCCCAACTGTTTCAAATGGGGGCCTAGTTTTTAATGGGAAATGTATGGATTTTAGGAACTAGAAGGACCCTCATGACATTCTATGGCTCAAATTCCTTACCAAAAACAAATTAACAAATTTGAGACTCAGATCACAACGTAATTAACCCAAATGGGGAGAACAAAAGCTGAAAAATTTGTTAAAACTGTACTGACCGTTTTTCTACTCACAAAAACTTGTAAAAGTCCCTGATTTAAAGACTCGAGTGAACCAGGCACATGACACTGACACCCCACAAGTTAATATCTGAATCTCGCCTGACAATGTGCATGGAATACCGGTGGGGGAAAGTTTGCACAGCCATGCTCCCACCTCAGCTCTGCTGTGGAACCAGTCTCGTCTCACCTCCCAGCGCAAACAGCTGGCTTCTCAAGTCAATGTTATTGGCTGGGCTCAGTGGCTCAGACCTGTAATCCTGGCACTTTGGGAGGCCGAGGCAGGTGGATCATGAGGTCAGGAGTTCGAGACCACCCTGGCCGATATGGTGACAACCTCGTCTCTACTAAAAATACAAAACTTAGCTGGGCATGGTGGCATGTGCCTGCAGTCCCAGCTACTCGGGAGGCTGAGGCAGAAGAATCACTTGAACCCGGGAGGCAAAGGTTGCAGTGAGCCAAGATCAAGCCACTGCACTCCAGCCTGGGCCACAGAGCAAGACCCCATCTCAAAAAACAAAAACGATTTTATCAAAAGAAGATGGTCCCAGTAACAAGTGGCCTAGAAACTACATTCAAAAATACCCTTTATTTCCTGTTATGCTCAATAACCAAATGTCTTTCCTAAACAACAAGGAGTCATATTGTGGAGCATGAACAGACGGCACTGGGACCCGCTTCTTGTGCACACTGGCACACGCAGGCCCAGCAGCACCCGAGCCCTCAAGCGTGGACACGCAGGCTGCAGTGGTGTCCAGGGACCACCTGGCAAGGACCTACTTTTTGTCCTGAATGTGTCCTTCCACTCTGTGAAGTTCTTTTCCGAATAATCCACACGGTTTAAAGTGAAGCACACACTTATGTCCAGTTCTGTGGGAAAAACATGCACAGGTTTCTGTTGTGAGACAGCAAACAGCCAGAAAGGCCACCTCCGTGGCGGGAGAAGTGAGGTGGAGGCCCTGGGGTGGGCAGGGGAGAGGCTGTGGATGGGCGCAGCGGGCCTTTGGAGCTAGGGACATGTTTGAAACTGGCTGTGGGATGGCTCCATGATCCGGTCAATTTGCTAAAAACCACTTGGGTGTCAACTCAGAATGGGTGGATTTTAGGATGCATCGATTACACCTCACGAAAGTGGTGAAAAGGCAAAGCCCACCCATCATAAGCTTCCAGGAACAGGCATTCACGCCTGGACAGTGGCTGACCGCTGCGGACGGCCACTGTGCTGTGCCTGGCAATGGGACGGCTCTTGGGCACAGTTCAAAGCCTGAAAGTAACGACTGTGACTGAAAACAAAGCTGTGAACAAGGATCACCCGTGGCGATGCAGCACCAGTCAGTCAACTCCAGCCAGGACACGGCAGCAGCTCGTGAGACTGAGCTAAACCCCACCAGGAGCACGGGCATCCCCACTTCCCGGCTTGCTCACCCCACCATGGGGGCTGTCACCTGTGGTTTAGAATCTCCACCATCCCGTACTGCTCTATCCACAGCTGCCCTATGATGACATTGTGCACACAGCAGGTGGGGTTGGTCCAGGTGTAGGCTTCATTATGCCTGTGAGGACACCAGAAGACAAGCAGTCAGAGTCCAAAAAGGCCAAGACACACTGTGACCTAAGATGCAAAGGCCAGGCAGGGCTGGGCCACACCACCCGCGCCCACAGGAGAGCAGCGCGCTGCTTTGAAGCCCCTCTGACGGGGGCTGTGTATTTAGCAAGCGTTTGAAATGTACTTCTTTCCTTTGTAGCATCTACAAAGCTTTCTACTTAAATGTCAAGACACGTTAATAAGCAATCAAAGAAGACTGAACAAAGGGAAACGGCTTTCCTGTGAAGTCTCAAAAGAAAAGCCACCTCACCAAACACATCTGCGGTAATGCAGGTCATGGGCACGCGGCCTTGGCCATCTGGGGAGCTGGCACATGGCTGTGGAGGGGTGCATGGCTTTCTCCCAAATAGCCCTGCCCAAGAAGAAAACACCCCACAAACGTGAGGCAGCAGATCAGCAGCCCCATTTTTGAGGGGCTATGTTGAGGAGCCATAGTGAAGGTGAAAATATGCTCAGAGCAGGGTACTTCATGACGCGTGTGGGATCCTCTGAATTTCCTAGGCAGGGCCCAAGCATGCTCATCAGCAAGGTGTGCAACTTTCCCTTCTGCAGGCCTCTTCCTGAGTAAGCAAGGCCACTGCACAACAGGTACAAGGCCACACCAGCCCCAGGATGCTCCTCGGGAGCTTCTCCAGGTCCCTGTGGAACCTTCTAGCAGCCATCCAGGCTGGGCCAATGTGAAGCAAAACCCGTATCAAATGCTTCATCATGGCGAGGTGGCGCTGATTACAGATCTCCTTATTCATCTGTCAGGACCTGGTGCCTACGAGAAGACCACAGGCAGTGGCTCAGCAAGACTCACACCTCAGAACCGGAGGCCCAGGGGGACACCAGCATCTAGTCTGTGTCTGCCGGGTTTTAGTGGCCGGTGTTTGCTGGAGAAGTGTGTTTTGCTTTGAGGTGTCTTTGGTCGACACTGGATCAGGCAGTATGTAGGCTGAGAGTGAAGAGGGGTGGTGGGCAGCCTCTTGGATGGTCCCCTCCCAGGCCGTCTGAAATTCCAACCCTCAGTCACTCCTGCCACATGAACACGGCGTAGAGCCACTTCCCTGGCTTCCTTCTAAGCTCTCTCCCGCTGTGGGAGGCAGTGCCCTGCAGCATATAGCCCTGAAGGGGCCCAGCCAGCAGCCTCGAAGGCGAGGGGGACACAGGCGCCACGGGCAGCCCAACCCTCATCCCCACCACAAGCCCTCAGTCCCCAGCCCTCAGAAACCCTGCCAGACCGGGGTGTACGCTGCTAAGTTTGGGGCTGTCATGCAGTAAAAGACAAGGAATACAATCAGTTGACAGAAAGGGATATGAATTCCAAGTGCAGTCAGAGATGAGGACATCCCCCAGCAGCATGAACCCATCTTCAGACGGTCAGGAAGCTCATGTGAACCCTTCTGCTGTGGGAAGGCCACCACCGCAGGAGAAAGAGGACAGGGCTTCCTCCTGAAGGAGGACTGCCCTCCACAACACCAGCACCCACTCCAGTTTATCCAGGAAGCCCGTCTCAGCAGGAGGCACCGATACTCACTTGAGCAGCTCCAGCGTGATGGTGCCTCGGGGCTCCGCCTCCACGCTCTTGCCCCAGAACTTGAGCTTGGGGTAGATGGAACCATGGAACAGGAAGTCGTGGTTGAGGCCTTCCGAGTGGAACGCACTGATGGGGGGGTGGTGACTGACCTGTTCCGATATAAATCTGAATCCTAAATCTTCCCTAGGTCCAAGAATAAAAAAGAGAAACAGACACATTAATGGCAGCAACATAAAAGAAAGAGCAGCTGAGACACCACGCACAGCCCCTCACGGGACGCTGGGAAGCAGGAGCCCTCCATGCCACAAGATGTGGTGGAAACGCCCACCGCTCTGATGCCGCACTTGGCCTAACAATGGCAACAGACACACACAGCCACAGCTTCCCGAGCCCATCTGACCACACAGAGAAGGCAACGGTGCAGGAAGGCCTCCACCCCGATGCCCCACTCACCTTCCATGGGAGCACTTGAGCCACAGTGGTGTCTGGCCAGAGGTGCCCAGAGACGCGGGTGGAGAAGCACCCCTTACAGAACCCTGACTCCAAACCCTCAGGAACCCTGAGGACTCCCACTGCCTGGGAACTCAGGACCCGAAACCCTTTCTGAAGGGGTACTCCTTGCCTTTCTACAAGGCCCCTGAAATTTCAGTGATGGAATGGCTTATAATCCAAAATATTCCTGGCCAGGAAACAGGATTTTTAGTATATTCTGTTTTTCAATAAAAAATGTCGGTTTTTAATTGTTCCGGAACTGTGAATACACCTACAGGTGTAGTCATTAAAAATTATAAAAGCTGAACCACATAATTACTAACTTAACTGGAATCAGAATTTCCAATCATTACAGAGGAAGGAAAGTTGAAAAATTAGATTTTAAAAGGTTGTCTACCAAGGTATGTAATTTACAAAATGAATACTTGTCTAAGAAAAGAAAGTGTATTTTTAGCTATAACGCATCTGCAGGGATCCAGAGTATCAGGAAAAGACTAGGTTCATATTCATGGCCCCTAACGTGACAGACTGCCAGGGTCTCACAGACGCACAGCACACGGCAGACACCAGCAGGGACGATCTGGAAGTGAGTGCATGACAGACGACGCGTGTCGGTGTTGAGAGGTGCATGGTGTGCTTCCTGCCACAAAGCACAAGCTCCGGCCCTGGGGGCAGCCCTGCTCTACCCAGCCCCGGCGGCCTGCATTCCTCTTACCCGCACTGCCTCTTCTCCAGCATCTAGAACTTTTTTCCTATTCTGAGTTATCTTTTTCTTTTCTTTTTTCTTTTTTTTTTTTTTTAAGATAAAATCTTATCTGTCTCACAGGCTGGAGTACAGTGGCGTGATCTTGGCTCACTGCAACCTTCACCTCCAGGTTCAAGTGATTCCTCTGCCTCAGCCTCCTGAATAGCTGGGATTACCGGTGCCCACCACCACACCCAGCTGATTTTGTATTTTTAGTAGAGACAGGGTTTCACTATCTTGAACTCCTGATGTAGTGATCTACCTGCCTCACCCTCCCAAAGTGCTAGGATTACAGGCATGAGCCACCATGCCCAGCCTGATTTATCTTTTTCAAGACGTTTTAGTAATTTTCTAAGAGCCAGATCCCTTCAGTGCCCTCCGACAGTGGCACAGCACACTGACCAGAGGAAGGGAAGGCCGGCAGGCAGCAAAGGGGATACTGCTCCAGAGAAATATCCAGAAAAGGAAGCATACTCCACACGAACTCAGAACAGAAGACTCCTTCACAAGGGATTCTTAGGGCCAGTCTTCCCCTTGTCAAGGCCCCAGTCTCCCCATTTCCAGAAGCAGAAGCAGGGCTGCTCCCTGCAGCATGTGCCACGACCCAAAGCTGCCTGCTGGACCCTGCCATCCCCACACCACGCTCTGCCCACGCTAGTCCTGCTTCCTCAAAGGCAATGAGAGCTTGAGAACAGGTGCTCGACTGCCCAGTGCCAGCCAACTTCTAAATCAAACAAAAAACATAAAGTTGGCATTCATGCACCAGCAGCGTGTGGGTAAGAACCAGCAGCTGACCCATCCAGGATAAGCCAGGAACAGATTAGAATTTGAAGCTGTGACATTTATGTTGCTTCTCCAAACTGCATAGTGATTCTATGCAGACACGCAGGAAAGCCTGCGCTACTAACAGCAGCTCCTCCCCAGATGGTCTGACAGCTAGTGCAGACACTCACACCTTCCAGGACAAATGCAGGCACACGCTTTTCAACTCTTTATGTACCAGAAGAGAGCCCATTTGGAGCAAACCAAATCCCGCAACCATTTGCTCACTACGGATAAAAACCTCAATCATGGCTGGACGCAGTGGCTCACGCCTGTAATTCCAGCACTTTGGGAGGCTGAGGCAGGCAGATAACCGGAGGTTGAGAGTTCAACACCAGCCTGGCCAACATGGTGAAACCCCGTCTCTATTGAAAACACAAAAATGAGCCGGGTGTAGGGGTGTGCGCCTGTAATCCCAGCTACTCGGGAAGCTGAGGCAGGAGAATCGCTTAAACCTGGGAGGTAGAGGTTGCAGTGAGCCGAGATCGTGCCACTGCACTCTAGCCTGAGCAACCAAGGGAGATTCTGTCTCAAAAAAAAAAAAAAAAAGTTATGAGTCATTAATAACACATAAAACACAATAACAGGCCCCGAAACAGTGACCTGAAGTTTCAAAGAAACTACACTTCTTTGAATCCAAGATGCCATTAATTGCACTGCACACCATTAATTGCACTGCACACGAAAGAAAAAAACTGCTGCAAAATGGAACTGTGACAAGGGCCAGGTAAGCACAGGCTCACACCTGTAACCCTAGCATTTGGGAGGCTAAGGTGGGCACATCACTTGAGCTCAGGAGTTCAAGACCAGCCTGGGAAACACAGCAAAACCCCATCTCTACTGAAAATATATAAATTAGCTGGGCATGGTGGCGCACACCTATAGTTCCAGCTACTTGAGAGGCTGAGGTGAGAAGATCACTTGACCTGGAGGCCGAGGCTGCAGTGTGCTGTGACCATGCCACTGCACTTCAGCCAGGGCAACAGAGTGAGACCCTGTCTCAAAAAAGGAAAAAGAAACTGACATGCAGAAATGCTGCAACATGAAAAATGTGTCTTAAAATCAATGAAACACTATAATTTAGAAAATATCACAGGAAAATGATTATAACATATTATGTTAAATAAAAACATACAAATTGACATTATCATATTCTGAAACACACACACAAAAATCTGACAAAATGTTGAGAGTTATTTTTTAGTTTGTATTTTTTTTAAAGAGGCATGGTCTGGCTCTGCAGCCCAGGCTGGAGTGCTGCGGCATCACTGTAACTTAGAATTCCTGGGCTCGAGTGATCCTGCTGCCTCAGCCTCCCGAGTTGCTGGGATTACAGGCAGAGCCCAGCCAGCTATTGTCTTTTATGGGATTATGCCTGACTTATCTTTTGTACCTTTCTCAACATTAGACATTCTCTATAAAGAGCACGCTATTGTAATTAAAAAAACAAAGACTTCCTAATAAAATAACCCAACAGAATCTCAACTAATCAGAATTCAAGTAAGAGGCTAATTGTTTTGGCTCAACTCCCTTTTTCATAGAATAATAATACAACAAGATAATAAAGGAGCCCACCTTCTCTCCCGTCTGCACTCAGCTCCTGGGCAGGGAGGCGTACAGCCCAGCAGTCCATGGCAAACAGCCTGCATTCTGCACAGCAGACTCATCTAGATAACCACCCACGTCCCTCCAGCAAGCTCCTTCTCCCCAGACGCAGCGAGCTCTGTGTGCTGGGCTACACCGACGATGGAAGAGAGAAGGGTCCAGCTGAGAGCACCCTGCCCCTTCCCCCTTCAGAACCACAGCCTAACCCTGTCGTGGAGATGGCGGTTCAGCTGGGCCCCGCAGACCCTCCCTACACATCTGCCTGCAGGCACCTGCACACATCTACAAGAGAAGGAGGGGGGCCAGGGGCAGTGGAATAAAAATCATTTTAGACATAAGCCACACACCTCTACTCTCTCATCCACAGCTCCCCAGAGCCCCAGCCAGGCTGATAAGTGGCTGAGGAACTAGCACACTGCCACATACACGCTGTGGTCTGGTCTGCTTTTGACTTCATTTGTTGGTTTGGGTGGGCACTGTCACCTGGGCAGAATTTTCCAGGATGATTCTGTGAATAACCACAGCAGTCCCCAGGCTAACCACATGGGTGAAGAGAACCCTGAGTCCTTCCAGGGGCCTAGCCACAAACAGCGTGATCTGGGGTCTGGCTGGACCTCTGGGGCCAGAGTCCTGGGACTTGGGGTCAGTCTCAGGTCTGTGAGCTGAGGGCCAGCAGGGGCAGGAGAGAAGCTGAGGCGTTACGCTCCCTGGAAGAAAGCTCCGTAGGAAGAAATTTTGGGATGTCTGGTGAACTTTCCCTTGGCCAGCACCATCTGACCACTCCTGAAACTCCAGAGAGGCCGTGTGGTGGCAAACGTGGCCTCCGGAGTGAAACCCCTCTTTGGAATCATTTCTGCCTTTGGATTTACCTGCTCTTTCAATAGCAGTCACGAAATGCTTTGGCAAAACAGCCTAGTTTTGCTCATTAGCACCTGTTTCTGTTTTTGATGAAGCTCAAACAATCCTGCACGTTTCGCAGACGCTGTACCCATACACAGAAGCGTCTAGGCACGCGCTGACTCCAAGCCTGAGTGGAGCACCTAAAGCATCCCACTGCTGATGCCTCATGCTCACTCAGGCCCATGGCGTCTGAGCACAACCCCCATGTGAAACACCTCGCCTACAGCAGCCACACGCTTTAGTAAGCTCCGAATTCTAAGTTTATTCTCAGACAGAGGAATCAACGCTGGTCAAAGAATCAAACTCATCTGTTATCCAAGGAATTATATTTACAAGATATTTATGATGGGGCCTTTTTCCCTTACCTGATTAATTCATACGTTTCTCCCAAGAGCGGGTTAAATGGTTTGCCGGTCCTCTCCCACTGGGAAGCCACGGCCGAAACAGCAAAAGCAGCCACAGACTGTAAATAATCCACAAGGGGAGGCAGGAACAGCTTCAATTAGGAAAAGCACTGGAGAAGATGGCCCTCGAGGAGAGCGGTAGGAACCTGCTTTCTCTGTGTCACTATTTGCTCTGTGGTGATTTTTCAATATGACTTCCAGGGAACACCCTTCACCACCCACCACTTGCCCAACAGCACAAAAAGAAGGAACTGGGAGCTGCCTTCCATCCCCAGGCCCCTTCCTGTAAGATGCTGCAGTAATGTCATTCTGTCCCATATGCACACAAGGCCATACTCACCACACACATGCTGATGCACATGCACACACACACTCCGCACACACACACTCCACATACACATTCATGCATATGTACACACACTCCACACACATGCCAATGCATATGCACACACACTCCACACCCATGCACATGCAGACACTCCACACACCCATGCACATGCACACACTCCACACACACGCCCATGCACATGCAGACACACTCCACAGTCCATGCATATGTACACACTCCACACACATGCCGATGCACATGCACACATACTCCACACCCATGCATATGCACAGACACTCCACATGCCCATGCACATGCATGCACACCACACATGGCCATGCACTCTCCACACCCCACACACATGCTGATGCACACACACTCCACACATGGCCATGCACTCTCCACACCCCACACACACGCCCATGCATATGCACACACACCCCACACACACACGCCCATGCATACACATATTCCACACACATGCCCATACACATACTCCACACACACCCATGCACACTCCCCATGTCCATGCACACACTCCCCACACACATCCATGCACATGCACACTCCCCACACGGCCATATACATGCACACTCCCCACACGCCCATGCACACACACTCCGCACATGCCCATGCACACTCCACACACACACCCATGCATGCACTCCACACACACCCATGCACACACACTCCACACACCCATGCACACGCACACTCCCCACACGCCCATGCACACACACTACACACTCACCCATGCACATGGACACACACCCCAAAGCACACAGAGAAGCATATGCACACATGCAGGGACACACATAGGCGTGCCTACACTCACACCCTTGTGTTTTATTTTTTTTAGACACAGGGTCTCACTCTGTCAACCAGGCTGGAGTACAGTGGTGCAATCATGGCTCACTGCAGCCTGTAGCTCCCAGGCACAAGTGATCCTGTCACGTCAGCCTCCCAAGTAGCTGGCATTGCAGGCATGCCCCATTGCACCTGGCTAAGTTTAAAAAAAAAATTTGTAGAAATATGGTCTCCCTGTGTTGCTTAGGCTGATCTCAACCTCCAGGAGCGAATCATTTGCCTCAGCCTCCCAAAGTGCTGGGATTACAGGCGTGAGGCACCATGTGTGCCCAGCCCACGGTCACACACAAGCACAGGGGCAGTAGTGCAACAGGACCCAAGAGGAGCCCAAGGGCAGAGCCCACCGCCACCTGCAGCTCCAAAAGGCAGAGACTCCCAGCAGGAGGCGGCAGCAAGGAGCCCCTGGGGCCGCTGAGAGCTCAACGGCATTTCCTGCAAGTTCTGTCATCACACACCTGTGCTGACAGCCACCAGGCAGGATGGCACTGAGCACTGCGGGGAGCTATGCATGCCCTTCTCACAGATGCCCAGGGCCCAAGACTGTTTGGCCAGACATGCAATGGGTGTAAATTCATGACAAACTCACACCTGGTACCCCCAAGGCCCACCTGCATCCTCTCCAGGGGCTGGGGCTGGCAGGAGGCCCTGTGGATGAGGTACACATGCTCCATGTACTCCGTGATCCGCTGCAGGAAGCTAAGAGGCTCGTTGAAGGCGATTGGCATCGTGATCTTGGACAGCTCCTGGAGGGATGGGGAAGACATGCTGGTCACTACTGCCTTCCTGACACTGCCGGGCTGCCCCATGCCCCTGCTCTGAGCATCCCTTCATGGAGCTGCAGACTCTAGGGCTGAACAGGATCTTCAAATCCCCCATGGATGAGCTGCTGCCTGCCCCCTCACCCCTGCCCTGTGAGCCTCGGCTGACATCAGACCTAACAGACAATGTTAGGCTGGGCCTGGAGAGGTCTCCAGCATGAATCCTCTCTGCCTCCCCAGCGCACTGCCCCATTCCAAACACAGAGACTGCCATAGGGGCTCCTGGACCCTCCCATGCCCCCTCCCCAACTCCACATCTCCACCCCACTTCCAGAGTAGTGGTCCAAGGCCAGGCATGGTGACTCACACCTGTAATTCCAGCACTCTGGGAGGCTGAGGCAAGTGGATCACCTAAGGTCAGGAGTTTGAGACCAGCCTGGCCAACATGGCAAAACCCCAACTCTACTAAAAATATAAAAATTAGCCAGGCATGGTAGCACATGCCAGTAGTTTCAGCAACTGGGGAGGCTGAGGCAGGAGAATCGCTTGAAGCTGGGAAGTGAAGGTTGCAGTGAGCCAAGATGGCACCATTGCACTCTAACCTGGGTGACAGAGTGAGACTCCATCTCAAAAACAAAAAACAGAATAGTGGTTCCAAAGCAGAGCCACTCACAACATTAAAAATAGTCCCTGGCTTCCCATCAACTCCAGGGTGCCTCGGACATGCCTGAACCCGGCAAACGAGGCCTCCCACACTGTGGCCCACGCAGCTTTGCCCTAAGGCCGTCCGAGCTGGCAAATGCACCTCAGTTGTCTGCTCACAGGCCCTGTGCAGCACAGAGAAAGCACCTGGGTCAATGGGAGAAGCTGGGAAGGAGCCAAGGGGACAAGTGCCCACAGGAGCCACTCTTCCAGCTGGGCTTCTAGGAAAGGGATCCCAACAGCTGGACAGCAGGCATTCCACGAAAGCACAGCTGTGCACCTCAGGGCAGCCTCTTCAGGAAGGAGCAAGGTCTGGGGTGGCCAAAGCAGAGGCAGAGGGAGATGGACAAGGAGAGGACCCAGAGAGGCCAGGAGGAAGCAGAGGAGGTGCCGGCGGCAACAGGGACAGCATGAGCTTTTGGGTCTTGTCTGCCAGTGGTTCCCAGCCGACACACACCAGCTGCGGAGCCTCTCAGGCTCCTGGTCTGCACCAGGGACTAGGACGGCCCCATCAAGGCCTCAGGACACCATGGGCACTGCCGGGCCACCTGCTCTAAGTCCCAGGGTGGGCGGGGTGTGCAAAGCACTGCACCACAGGATGCACCTGGCTTGGGCCATTAGGTTGCCAAAACTCAGCGTCCATGGGGGACTCTGCTCAGACACTGGGTGGAGGGTGAGTGCAGGGACCATGGTGGAGAGCATGGGGCAGATGTACAGAACCTGCGGCCCAGGCTGCTACAGGGACCAGCAGGCCCAGATGGCACCGGACACACAGGGACTGTGGGGCTCAGGAGGGGCTAGAACTCGGTTCCAACTGAGGCAGCCCCAGCGTGTGGGTGTGGCCGAGACTGCACAGGGGAATGTGACTGCCGAGGAGAGCAGGAAGAGATGTGACCCTCGTGACTCGGAGCTCAGCACTGTAGGAGCACATGGGAGACAAAGAAGGAAGCCCCGAAAGAATGAACAGAGGAGCAGACAGATGGGGCAGCATTTGCAATTTACACTCGCCCTCCCGGGCTCTAAACGCCTGCAAAACTACAAGAGGCCATAGCCCACAGCGGCCAGAGATGGGGCCAGGGAGGCCAGGAAGGAAGTGTGGATGGCAGTGGCCCTGAGTGTGGGGAGACGATGCCTCTCTCAGGTCAGGAGAGATGGTATCACAACTGCGTGCAGCTCCCACCCAGGAAAGCCCCCCGGCTGCTGTGGAAAAGCATAGTGATGCAGCCCCACAAAGGCGAATGGGCTGCTTCCAGAAAACTCTATGGGCATTTGCCCCCGACCCGGCAGTCCCAATTCTGGGAACCTACTCCACAGAGCCTCGGCCAGACACCCATGCAGGGCTCTTTGCTGCAGCATGGCCGGATCCATGGAACACCACAAATGACCCATGTGTCTAACAACAGGGCGCCAGTCAGTGAGCTGGGGGCAGCCAAGTGAGAGAGCGCCGCGCCATTAAAAGATTAAGAAGTCGTCCAGGGGAGATGGCTCACGCCTATAATGCCAACACTTTGGGGGGGCCAAGGCGGGGAGGATCGCTTGAGGCCAGGAGTTGAAGACCAGCCTGGGCAACAAAGTGAGACCCTGTGTCCACAAAAAATTTTGTGAAAGTAACTGGGCATGGTTGTGGGTGCCTGTAGTCCCGGCTACTCCAGAGGCTGAGATGGGAGGTTCGATTGAGCCCAGGAGGTTGAGGTTACAGTGAGCCATGATCCTGCCACTGCGCTCCAGTCTGGGTGACAGAGTAAGACTCAATTTCTAAAAATAAATAATAATAAGATTAAGAAGTCACTGCACGTTGCTATGGATAAATGGTCAAATTTAAAAGGTGGAGAAAGCCTCTCATTTACGTAAGGAATTGAGGAGAATATACATGTGGAACCAGCTGTGATGCATGAAAGACATGCCCTGAACGTGGCTCCTGGCCACCTGCAGGGAAAGCAGAGAGCACCTGGAGGGAACAGGGATAGGAAGCTGACCCTCCTGGAATATACCTTGCTTGATAAATTTGAGGCAGAACCTATTATTTAAATAAAGTAAAATTTTAACAAGTCATATCTAAATATCAAAAATGAAACAAATGAACCTATGTCATTCCCTTGGTGGCACAATCACCCAGAAAGGTGCCCAGATGGTTTAAAAATGCTGGCATCTGAGACAGGCCCTGAAGACAAAGACAGCTGCAGGAGCCACAAACATGCTGTCTCAGCGACAACGCCGTCAGCAGCAGAGCCGGTCCTTCGAGTAAGTGGGGCAAAGCGAGTGAGTCACAACTACGTTCCTGTCTAAATCCATCCTCGCCAGGGCTGCCGAAACAGGGATCATCAGTGAGGGAGAAGGACACAGACAGAAGACCAAGGGGTTAGGCGGAGCCTGTCAGCCCCAATTTGAAGCATCACTGAAACAAACAAAAACACAGTTCTGAGCTGTAGGACAGACCTCGAAATAAGACCACTCCAGTGGCCTCCCAAGAGCCCGGCCGTGGTCCTGAATTCTTCTTCTGTCGCTGGACAAGTAGCTAATTCCAGACCCCAGACAGTAAATGCACAGGCAAGGCCTGAAGCTCCTTTTGTAAAGGACTCCAGGCCACCTTGAAGAGACTCTCAGTGACCAAAGATGGAACAATGTGTGGAAGACATCCACTAGCCTAAACACTAGGAGGCAAATAAGACAAACTAGCTGGTGACACGAGTGACACTGGGTGATGCCAATGAGCTAACGCATTATGTCAAAAGTTAAATAAAGAGGAGGAATTGCTCACCCGTCCTGGCTTTCCTACACAAACTGCATTTACAGCAAAGAAGGGAAACTTCTCACTATGGCAACATCCCAAGCAATCATGTTGGCATGGCTCCAACTAGCAACTCTGTGAGTTACTGGACCCGCGCTGAGTGCCCACAGCCTTTTTGTTTGTTAGAGATAGGGTCTCACTCTGTCACCCAGGTTTGAGTGCAGTAATGTGATTACCGCTCACTGCAGCTTCAACCTCCCGGGCTCAAGCGATCCTCCCATCAACCAACCGAGTAGCTGGGACCCCGGGCATATGCCATCATGCCCGACTAATTATTTTTTGTAGAGACGGGATCTCACTTTGTTGCCCAGGCTAGTTCTGAACCCCTGGCCTGGAGTAATCCTCTCGCCTCAGCTTCTGACAGTGATTACAGGTGTGAGCCACCACACGCCTGGCCTGCTCACAGCTTTTAAATTCAGAGAAAGAGCAACAAAGAAGACTTCCTGACAGAGAGATGCAAACGAGGTCCACACGCACGACTGCAGACACAGAAGGTAGCACATGAGACCACAGGACATCTGAACACAAGGCGGGTAACGAGGTCCACATGCATGACTGCAGAAACAGAAGGCGGCACGTGAGACCACGGGACATCTGAACACAGGGCGGGTAATGAGGTCCACACGCACAACTGAAGACACAGAAGACGGCACATGAGACCGCAGGGCATCTGAACACAGGGCAGGTATCTGACGATTCCACCAAAACCTCCAGAGGTGAGTGTTTGGAAGTGAAGGGTGAGGGGTGGAGCCAGTCTGTGTGTCCCCTCCCAGCACCTTTCCATGCTTGCCAGTGCTACATGCTCACATGCAACTTTTACCTCAACCCCTCCATGATCCTTACTTAGGGAATGCAACTGACATCATTTCATGTTGTTGAAAAAATACCTTTGGTCCTAGAACTGTTTTTTTTTTTTTTTTTGAGGTGGAGTCTCACTATGCCACCAGGCTGGAGTACAGTGGCACCATCTCAGCTCACTGCAACCTCCACCTCATGGGTTCAAATGATTCTCCTGCCTCAGCCTCCCAAGTAGCTGGAACTATAGGTGGGTACCACCACCCCCAGCTAATATTTTTAATACAGACAGGGTTTCACCATGTTGGCCAGGATGGTCTCGATCTCTTGACCTTGTGATCCACCTGCCTTGGCCTCCCAAAGTGCTGGGATTACAGGCATGAGCCACCAGCTACCAGCCTTTTTTCTTTTTTAAGAGATAAGGTTTCCCTCTGTCATCCAGGTGGAGTGCAGTGGTGAAATCACAGTGCACTGCAGCCTCAAGCATCTGGCCTCAAGCCATCCTCCCGTCTCAGCCTCCGGAGTAAGTGAGACTACGGACATGCACCACTGGCTAATTAAAAAAATTTTTTTTTTGCAGAAGTGGGTCTCGATATGTTGCCCAGGTGCTGGTCTCAAACCTGGCCTCAAGCAATCCTCCTCCCTCAGCTTTCCAAAGCACTGGGTTACAGGCATGAGCTACTATCACACCCAGCCTATCTCAGAATTTAAAAGAGTCAAAATTAGGTGGTTTTGTCAAGTTCACAAAAAGACATTCATCATCTATACCAAGAGAGATACTTTTGATAAGACCTGAATTATCCACGTAGTCAAAAATGTACAAAAAATACTGCTGAAAGAAAAAAAAATCTCAAATGGTTTATTTTAAAAGAAACATACAGATACATACAGAAATACAGAGGTGTATGCATCAGCATTAGCGCACACACTTGTATTTTCCAGCGCCATCTGCTGAGTGGGCCTGCAGGCAATGACTGCCCAGCACCTGGCCGGGGCCTAAACACCATTACCCAGTGAATGGGCTCCCTGGAGAAGTAGCTGATTCCAGGGTTAAGGCAAGGAAAATATAAACTGAACTAGAGCATTCTTTAGTGCCTGAAATAAGTGTTCAGAAAGGATGGGGGTTCAGCAGAAGGGGAAAGGGGGTCCCACAGAACGGGGAAAGCCAGCCTGGAAGAACTCCCAATGCCAAAGGCAGAACACTGTGAGCAATTGTGCAAATAAGGACTATCCTGGAATTCGACTCACAGAATAACGCGTGTTCATGAGTCCACACTAATACAAATATTAACTGAATAAATATATAACTAGGGAAGCAGGGACAGTTCTCTTTTACAGAAGAATTCCAATTAATAAAGGTAGAAGGAAGAACAAAAATAGAAAATCACCATTAGAATTTCAGTAAAACCCACCAATAGATGCTAAAATTAGCAAGCAGAATCCAAGTGTCTTCCCCAAAACACTGATTACAAAGAGAAACACAGCAACTCTGCAGTGAAGACACTTGAGCAGGTTAACAGCCCCATTAACTGACATGTGGATGCCAGAGAACCCCTCAGACAAGGCCCTGGCAAAGGTACCTCACTTCTCTGAGTGCCAAAAATACAGAACCTCGATCTAAGAAGAAAACATCAGACAAACACAAATTAAGGAAAAGTCTTCTAAGTAACAGACCAGGAGCAGCTGCCACCAAGTGGAGGAGCCCAAATGCCACGAGGGTCCTGGGACAGGAAAGGACATCGGGGACTGAGGAAACAAAATTGACACTCGGAGGTAGGATGCACTCCCTTGCTTTAGTCACTGGGCTACGGTTATTGCAAGAGGTGCCAGCATTGGGGGAGCTGGCTGGGGCTTCATGAAATGCTCTGTGGTATTCTGTGATTTTCCGTAAGTCTAAAATTATTTCAAAATAAAAACTTGAGAGAAAGTGAAGTTCCCTCTGGGGAAAAAGGACTAAAATGGGTAAGGGCAAAAAAATCACCAGCACTAGGAGACGTGGGCTGAGCAACGGTGACGCGAATCCGCAGGCAGTTTAACTTGAGTGTTCAGTCATGAGCGCTGAACGGTCGGCCGGGCGGTGAGGTGGCGCAGGACAACCCCTCCCTTGTGAGGCACAGCTTGGGTTCTCAGTCAAGAAAGACCATGAAAGGGAAGGCTTACAAATTCCGGGCCCTCATTACCCAGCTGGATTTTCTGTCCCAAACCCTGAGCAACTGACAAAGGCTGACGCCCCCCACCTGCAGCTCAGCATGTGGCCGGGGAGGACACCAGGGAAGCCCCACCCACCTTGCTACACAGGACACGGGCTAGACGGGTGCCCCCAGGACAGTTCTCACGTCCCCTGTTTCACACAGCACCTTGCCCCGGGACGTTTGTTCTTTCTGTCTTACTGTCTTAATCTCATGCTGTTTGTAAACATGAGCACTTTCCTAAACCACCAGCATTGCAGGACATTCCCACGAGTGAGCACAGGCCCCGGACTCACCAGGCCGACACACTTCTTCAGGATGGTCCACACGCTGAAGTCGCTTCTGCTGAACATGGGGGCTGGCAGTGACGTCCTGCGGGAGCACCAAAGGGGTACATGTGGGTGAATTCAGCATGGGACTTGGACCTCTCAAGGCGGCTTTGCTCAATGACCATTTCCCTTAAATTTTAATGCCTCAACCCCGGCATTTCTGCAATCCAGCATGCCTTGGGTCACGGGGGCCTAGCGGGCTTCCACACAGCACTCTGGAGGGCCTCCTGGGAGTGGCCGTGACAACAAAGACGACTCTGCAGTCTTGGCCCTCAGTGGCTGCACTTTGGTTTCCTCCCAGAGCTGGGGGACAGGTCGGCGCAGGACAGGGTCCCTCTGCCTGCACAGCCCACAGGCTTCTGGGGTCTCCTGCTGGGTCCCAGGGCAGCTGCCAGACCTCAGGCATAGGTCAGCCCACTAGGGCACCAAGAGTCACCCAAATTAGAAGCTTTTCAGCGCTTTAAATACAGGTTAGCTTTCCTGAGAAGTGTTCTTTTCAGGCAATCTTCCAGTCAGCTGCAATGGGGAACCCGCACCATCACGCTTGCACCTGGAGATCCTCACGCCCCACCACTGCTCACCACTGATCGACCTGGGGGCCACAGACCCGGGGCCCTGGTCTCGGGAGCGCCTGGAGACATAAACTTGGATTTGGAGAGAGGCGTGCCAGAACTGCAGAAGACACCCAGAGTGGGGTGCAGCAAAGGTGCTGCAGAGTGAGGTCCTGGGACTCCCTGCTGCTCATAGCCCTCCAGGGACACCCCAGGGCTCTCCTGCTGAACTCCCATTTCACGGAAGCTGCCTTGAGGGGCATTTTGCCTTGCTCCCAGCAGACCTCCAGAGCAAGGAAAGTAGGTGCTCTTGCCTGCTCTGGTCCATGTCCCGGAATGCCACATCAGGGCAGCTGGGTCAGGACACACTACTGGTGTCAGGGGGCAGGAGGGAGAGGACACAGCAGCTGTGAGGCAAGGCAGAAAAGAAAACAAACATCTGCTGAGTGTCAGGTGGGAGCCAGCACTCAGCTCCACTCCACCACTGTTCGTGCACGCATCCAGTGCACACCTTGTGATTCGGGGGGTGCCACCAGGAGGGGACGTGGCTCTGCAGAGGATCAGGTCACACCGCCCTGAGGATACGATCCTGCAGGGAGATGGGATACACAGAACTGCAGACATGAAGGAGGAGGACAGAGGCCCCGGAGCGAGGGAGCAGGGGGAGTGGCTGCACCTGAGGACCTGAGAGGCCCCTGCAGCCAGGACTGGAGGCAAGAGGGCTTGGGGAGCCAGAGCCACGGGAGTGTTCAGGGCCGGGCCCAGGGCACAAGGCGAGCATGCTGGCCTTCAACCTAAGAGGACAGTGACCACATAAGGCAGTGTCCAAGGCATGTCATTTCTCCCAGTAAAACACAGTGCTACTCACAGTTCTGTAGGACTAGGAGTGTGAGGCCGGCCATGTGGCCATCCTGTCTGAGTTTTAGGCAGACAGTGACAGGGCAGGGGGGTCCAGATCTGTCTTCTGAAAACTGCCTCTGGGCTGGGCATGGTGGCTCCCGCCTCTAATCCCAGTACTTTGGGAGGCCGAGGCAGGTGGATCACTTGAGGAGTTTGAGACCAGCCTAGCCAACATGGTGAAACCCTGTCTCTACTAAAAATACAACAATTAGCCAGGCGTGATGGCACATGTCTCTAAGTCCAGCAACTCAGGAGGGTGAGGCAAAAGCACCTGAACCTGGGAGGCAGAGGTTGCAGTGAGCCGAGATTGCGCCACTGCACTTTAGCCTGGGCGACTGGGCGACAGAGTGTGACTCCATCTCAAAAACAATACATACATACATATATAAATGTCTCTGTACACGGCAGGAATAAAAGGCAGAGATGCAGAGGCCACTCTGGAAACAAGGATGGTGGGATACACAGGCATGGGACAAAGGAGATGGAAGAACTGAAGGACCCAACAGCATTTAAAATGACCAGAGTCAGGGCTGGAGAACAGGGAGCAGGGCTGAGACATGAACAAACAACAGGTGAGATGCAGACGTGGGCACTGGGGGAAGCACCAAGCAGGCATGTGGGCTACAGCTCAAAGCAGAGCCTGAGGCCAGGCTGGAGCAGCTCCCAGAGCCGAGACACACATTGGCAGCTGTGCCTGGAGCCCGCACCACAGTGCCACCAGCTCCAGGGCCACTGCCTGCCCCACCAACAGCTTGTCCTGCCTTCCTGCTTCTACCAACAAAGACTGATGACTTCTTCCCTTTTATTTTGAGACAGGGTCTTGCTTTGCTGCCCACACTAGAGTCCAGCGGCACCACCATAGCTCACCATAGCTTCAAACTCCTGGGCTCAAGTGAGCCACCTGACTTGGCCTCCCAAAGTGCTGGCATTACAGGCGTGAGCCATCGTGCCCGGCCATGATGAAGACTTCTCATCATGGCCACTGTCCTCGGACTCTACCTACACGAAAATGAATGAGGTGGAGGAGGAAAGGGAGCGCGGCCATGCTACACCAAGCAACTTAAACCTTCCTTGTCCTACAGGGTCAGAGACCAACACACTGCAATAGAACTCCAGCGAGAAGAGGGTGAGCTTGTTGTCGACGGCAGAACAGGCAGGTCTGCAGGAAATCAGCAAGGGGCCTGCCGATCAAAACACCAGGTACTATTTTCCAGGCCCTGTCAAAGCCAGGGTCCCCTAATCTTCCCACAGCAAGTCCTGAAGGCAGCGAGGGGAGCGGAGGCATAAACGGAGAAAAGCACTGCCCAAAAAACTGCCATCTGCTGATTCCAGGAGCCAAACAGAGAGGCACCAAGTCTCTCAGAACCCTTGCTGGCCGGACACAGTAGCTATGTGGGTGCCGCTCCAGCTCACTGCTCGTGAGGGCTGAGGGGTACTGCAGAGCACTGTGGGGTAGAAACAGCAGACGTGAGAGAACATACCTGTGCCTCTGAATTCCATTCTCTTGAGACGGCCTCTCCCCAGTTTTCCCAATCCTGTTATTTTTGCTGGTGTCCAAGTCAATCATTCCTGTGACCTTCTGATTCGACTCTGAAAATTCCCCGGAAGAGTTATCAGAATCAAAGCCTGTGCGAGACAAGAAAATGGTCATTTTCACTAGACCTGGAAGATATAAAACCTCCAGAATTCTGACTGTGCAAGCAGACTACTAAAGCTCGACATTGCTCTCAATGGATACACTTAGAAGAATTCACTCTGCTTCCCCAGGAGAAGAGGTACAGAGAGAACAGGAGCACACCAGGGCGCTCCCTCCTAAGAACGCTGCTCCCAGCGGAGCTCCAGCACCTCAGGTTCCTCCCACGCTTGTGACTTGAGGTCCAGTCCCAGGCCACGAGTTCCATCTTCCGGAAGGAACCCTTTCATCACTTTAGACTGCGACTTTCTCGCTCTGGGTGGGCCACTTCTACGAGATTCAACCCACCCCAAGGCTACAAGGCGCCCGTTGTGGCTCAGGGCTTGTGACCAAGCTCTGCGTCTTGGTCTGAAACACGCCTCCTGACGATGTTTCAAGGGAGACCATCCTAGCACGAAGAGGCACCACTCAACTGTACCAGCCAGCGAGCAATCATAGAAATGCCACACGTGTGGCTGGACTCGCAGTGGACTCCAGACGAAGGGGGACTCTAGAGAAGGAGCTCTTTAGAATCTGAGTGAAATGCAGCCATGCACGTGCTCCTAGACCAAAAGTCCCAGAGAAGAAATGGCCGCTGCCCTGGTGATGCTCCAGGGCCCTTCCCCATAACAGAACAGGGGACTGGGGAACAGGAACACGCTTCTCCCTTCAACTCTTGTCACTCCAAGTCTCCACATCTGGCTGGAGTGGGGGTTGTGGCCCCATGATGAGTCAATTCTGTGAGGGGCTCTGGGCCTGCAGGAGCCGGTGGCCATCAACGCTTCCAGGGGCTGAGGGTTCCACGCGGGGGACACAGGCCCGGGAGGGTCAAGTGGACGACAACTGTCGGACCTCACATGCAGGCGGGTCTGCTACAGGCTCCATGAGAACAAACCAGGGTGCTGTGTCCTATCCCTCCACACCTGCAGAGTTCATCCATAAAGGCAGTGCTGGGGTGGATGGCATCATGATTTTGAGAGGGTAGGTTAAAAAGGAATCCTTAAATGGCCCATGGTTTCTGAAATAGCCCGCCACCTCTTGTGTTTTGCTATCTATCCCAAAAGCAACATCTGTAACTCCTCACTCTGAAGTTATCTTGAAAGCATTCCCCACTTAAGGGAATCCCATGGGGTAGGAGCTGCCCCTGCCCAGAAGAATAAAGCAGCACCTCCCTGGCAGCCGCTGCAGTCTCTGATTTAGCCAATGCTACATGGATGGCTTAACAACACTCTTAAGACACAACAAGCAGTTATCATAGAAAAACAGAAAACACAGATGAGCAGAGGAGGAAGCTGCGTCACCTATCATCGGCTCCCTCGGAAACACCTGCTTTAATAGACCCCTCTGCATTCACAGCCCTGAATCCCCTACACACTGCGCATGTCCTCCAAACCTTTCCTTTGAAAGGCACTGAGTCTCAGACAAATTAAATGCCTAATGAAGTCATTCATTTAAGAACTGCTTAGTTCACATACTTTTCAGATGAGACTCAGATGAATCACAGGCGGTGAAGGAGTCAAGTCTGCCTCTTACATGGGTATTTCATTGCAGTAAGAGACTCAGTGGTTTTCTCCTTCCATTATTTGTTCTGAAGCCCAAGAAGTAAGGGGAGAAATTATTGTCACCTAGATGTCTGTCCCTTCCACCTTACCCTCAGGGACACACACAGAAGCCCTCCATGCAGGAGCAGAGCCCCACAGCCCCACACCCCCTATGGCTCCTAGGACGGCAGAGTCCAGGCGAGCTCCACATTACACATAGCTGAGGCCTCTGGGAAGTCACAGCAAACTGACTCAAAATGCTCAGAGGTGTTTGGAGAAGTATCAGTCCCCCAAGACCCCAGGCAAAAAGGACATCCTATGAGACTCCTGGGAGAGAATGAACCTCAAGGCTGCGCGCTCTGTCACAGACGTGGAGTTCCACTCAAGGGCGAGGCAGCCCAAGGGTATGAGTGCCTGACCACCCCTCCACTTCGTGGGATTTAGCAGAGAACACAGAACGACCGCTGATGAGGTGCCCACTCCGCAGACTCTCCTCTGGGAGCGCATCCGAGAAGTACATGCTGCAGAGAATCCAGCTATGAAATCACGGAACATGACTTAGCAACTGAGCCTTTGAAGGCGTAAGGCGCGCAGCAGTGCAGCATTTCCTTCTCCTGGGATGCTGGATAAGAGGAAGTCAATCAGCTTGGGCTGCCAGCACAAGTACAGGAACAGCACAGCCTCGGAACACTCAGCTCGCTCTGGCAGGGCCACAGACCGGAGGCACCACCAGAGCCATCGATGAGTGCTCAGGGCATGGCCAGAGACACTCCTGACACAACTGCTCCGGCAAGGCCACAGACCAGATGCCACAGGGCACAGAACACAGGGCACGGAGCCATCAACATGTCCTCAGGGAGTGGCCACAGAGACCTTTACAGGTCCTTGGGCCGCAGCAACTGCCGAAGCGCTTCTAAAGATTGTCACGAATTCCTGACCTGCGGCCACATTTTCAAAGCCACTCCTTTCTGATCCCAACACCTAAGGACAAGGAAATGCCAGGAGAATCTCCTGATGCCCCTGCCCACCAGCAATGGTCCTTCCCCAAAAAACCAAGTGAAATTCCAGATGCTGACTCTGAGTGCAGAGAGTGGAAACCGAGTGTGAGGACCTGACAGACATGAGCTTGAAGGGGTCAGGGCTCTTCCCAGTGCCAGGGAGAAGGGGCGGCTCCGGGAGGTCAATCTGCCAGTCCCACCTGCCCTTCCCTACCCATGAGCCAGGCAACATACTCTTCATTTTTGTCTTTTATTCAGAATGACTGGACTCCAAAACACATTCTTTTTCAATGAGGCCACAGGATTTCACTCAGACTACAGTCTGCCGTGCTTTAAATCACCATGCGAAGGAGGAACACAGAGGAACATAACTGCACGCTGCGGCTGTGCGGGCTGCTGTGGGGCCAGTGGGATTACTGTCTGATGGGATGCCTTAAGCAACGCCAAGCAAGACAGGGCATCAGATCTGTAACGTCCCCATCACGAAGCAGGAATAACAAGACGGCCATCTCAGGAGCCAAATGAAACACGCACCCCAGGAAACTCTTCTGAAGACTCAAACCCTGTCAGCCAAGGTCAAGGTTCTCCCCCATCTGAGATGCACGCCAGGCTGTGTTGAACAGGCTGAGTTTGGGATTGTGAACACTCGCCCGTGGCTTTGCTGAGCCATCTTCATGCCCAAACGCCAAGTCCAGCATATGAGTCCAGGGACGTTCACCCTTCCATTATGGCCCCAGTTGGTCCCCTTTCAACTCACCTGTGACGGCATCAAAGAACTCTTCCTCTCCGTTCATCCTTCAGCAGCCGGCCTCCACTGCCCCTGACATGCGGTCTTCTACTGAACCATCGTATCTGACCCACATCTACAGTATAAGGAACTTTTTGAACTTTCTCTTGGAAAAATCCAATAGACACTCAAGATCTAAAGAGAAAAAAAATGTTTGCAGACTTAGCTTCCAGAAGTTTCATGGTTTAGAAACATTTTAAATACCCACTCACCATCCTAAAATCAATCTAAATTACATGTAAGCAAATCAGTAAAATTATCACATCACAAACAATATTTCAAGAAGTAAATGAGAGGAAACGTTTATAATGTAAGATCAATCAATGAATAACAGACCAATAAGCGCTCCTATCAAAACAGCTGTTTCTAAAAAGCATTATCGGCCAGTCCGGGGGGCTCACGCCTGTAGTCCCAGTACTTTGACAGGCCAAGGTGGGCAGATCACTTGAAGCCAGGAGTTCGAGACCAGCCTGGCCAACATGGTGAAACCCTGCCTCTACTAAAAATACAAAAATTATCCAGGCAGGGTGATGCATGCCTGTAGTCCCAGCTACTTGGGAGGCTGAGGCGTAAGAATCTCTTGAACCCGGGAGGCAGAGATTGCAGTGAGCTGAGATCGCACCACTACACTCCAGCCTGGGTGATGAAATGAGACTCTGTCTTGAAATAAATAATAAATAAAATAAAAAATCTTATCTATAGTTATGTAAGAAAACAATAAAACATTAATTTGGGAAAAGTCATGGGGAGAGGTCAGGTGCGGTGGCTCACCCTTGTAATCCCAGCACTCTGGGAGGCTGAAGCAGGTGGATTACCTGAGGTCAGGGGTTCAGAGACCAGCCTGGTCAACATGGTGAAACCCCATCTCTACTAAAAATACAAAAATTAGCCAGGCGTGGTGGTGGGCACCTGTAATCCCAGCTACTCAGGAGGCTGAGGCGGGAGAATCACTTGAATCCAGGAGGCAGAGGTTGCAGTGAGCTGAAATCACACCACTTCCCTCCAGTCTGGCAACACAGCAAGACTCCATCTCAAAAAAAAAAAAAAAAAAAAAAGAAAAGAAAAGAAGAAAAAGCCATGGGGGCAGTTGAAATGAGCAGATTAGCTTCCGTGAGGTTCAAACACAGCTCAGGAAGTTTTGCTGAAAATCACTGCAAACATTCACCAGAGGCTGAAGTAGCTGTGGGTAACGGAAAATTTACATCTAAATGTGACATCTCCCTGAAACCAATGTTCTAGAGAACTGAGGCTGCTATGTGAGTTGGCTGCTGCCAGGATAAACTAAAGTGAACTGAGGCTGCTATGTGAGTTGGCTGCTGCCAGGATAAACTGAAGTACACTTACGTTTTCTCACAACTACCTCGGCTCGACATTCTAGAACTCGTGCACATTAGTGTCTCCCATCGGCAAGAGCAGCATTTGATGAATGACAAGAGAATTAAGCCAAAATCAGCACCCTTACTTGAGTCAGAAATACAAAATCCAGCCTAGGGCTCTCTGCACAGTTCTGAGGGTGAGGGGGCCAGGGGCGAGAACAGTCCCCAGTGCCAGGCGACCCCCCAAGTGGCTCAGCCTGCAGCCCTGCCACAGCTGCACCGGGCAGCAGCAGCTTCCCTCCAGACAACAGGACAGCCACTGCCTCCCGAGAGACTCTCCAGTGTCTCCTGGTTCCTCCCTCCTGCCCAGCGGGTCTGAGGTCCCCCTGAAAACCAGCGAAGACAGAGCACACTGCCCTTGGCCAGGGTGTGCTCGCCCTGCAGACTGGAGAGGTTATTGTCACTCACTCGGGTCCTCTACCCACAGCGCTCCACAGCTGCAGCGAGCTCTCCCTTCAGAGCCACTGAGCAGCCAGGGCTCCCAGAGGAAACCCAGCGAATCCAGGAATGTAGAGCAGGAATGTGCGTTCCTCACACGCATGCTGAGATCTCACTGCCACGTGACAATGTTAGGAAGTGAGGCCTCTGAGAGGTCATGGGCCATGAGGGCTCTGCCCTCATTAACGGCTTAATGCTGTCTTATAAAAGGGTCTGTCGGCCAGGCGCGGTGGCTCATGCCTATAATCCCAGCACTTTGGGAGGCTGAGGCGGGTGGATCATGAGGTCAAGAGATCGAGACCATTCTGCTCAACAAGGTGAAACCCCGTCTCTACTAAAACTACAAAAATTAGCTGGGCATGGTGGCGCACGCCTGTAGTCCCAGCTACTCGGGAGGCTGAGGCAGGAGAACTGCCTGAACCCAGGAGGCGGAGGTTGTGGTGAGCCAAGATCGCGCCATTGCACTCCAGCCTGGGTAACAAGAGCAAAACTCCGTCTCAAAAAAAAAAGAAAAAAGGGTCTGTCATAAAAGGGTGAGTGTGCCGGGCACAGTAGCTCATGCTGGTAATCCCAGCACTGCAGCAGGCCTAGGCAGATGGATCACCTGAGGTCCAGAGTTCAAGACCAGCCTGACCAACATGGTGAAACACTGTTTCTACTAAAACTATACAAAAAATTAGCCGGGCGTGGTGGTGGACACCTGTAATCCCAGCTACTCGGGAGGCTGAGGCAGGAGAACTGCTTGTACCCAGGAGGCAGAGGTTGCAGTGAGCCGAGATCATACCACTGCACTCCAGCCTGGGTAACAAGAGCAAAACTCCATCTCAAAAAATAAAAAGGCCAGGCGGAGTGGCTCACACCTGTAATCCCAGCACTTTGGGAGGCTGAGGCGTATGGATCACCCAAGGTCAGGAGTTTGAGAACAGTCTGACCAACATGGTGAAACCCCATCTCTGCTAAAAATACAAATTTAGCCGGGTGTGGCGGTGTGCGCCTATAATCCCAGCACTTTGGGAGGCTGAGGCGGGTGGATCACGAGGTCAAGAGATCGAGACCATCCTGGTCAACAAGATGAAACCCCGTCTCTACTAAAAATACAAAAATTAGCTGGGCATGGTGGTGCACGCCTGTAGTCCCAGGATGGGTCTCCGTCTCTTGACCTCGTGATCCACCTGCCTCGGCCTCCCAAAGTGCTGGGATTATAGGCGTGAGCCACTGCGCCCGGCCGACAGACCCTTTTATAAGATAGCATTGAGCCGTTCATGAGGACAGAGCCCTCATGGCCCACCACCTCTCAGAGGCCTCACTTCCTAACATTGTCACGTGGCAGTGAGATCTCAGCATGCGTGTGAAGAACGCACATTCCTGCTCTAAGCCCAGCTACTTAGGAGGAAGAGGCACATGAACCCAGGAGTCAGAGGTTGCAAAGATCGCACCATTGTACTCCAGCCTGGGCAACAAGAGCAAAACTCTGTCTCAACAAATAAATAAATAAATACATTTTAAAAAGGGTGAGTTTTGCCCCCTTATGTGTGCTCTCTCTCCTCTCCCTCTGTCTCCCCCCCCCGTTCTCCCTCCCTTTCTCTCTCTTCCCTCTCCCCTTCTTTCCCTCCCTCTCTCTCCCTCCTCTTCCTTCCCTTTCCTTCTCTCTCCTGTCCCTCTCTCCCCACTCTGCCCCTCTTCCCTCCTCTCTTTCCCTTCCACTTTCTGCCACAGAATGACAGCAAGAAAGCCCTCAGCAGATACCAGCACCTTGAACTGGACTTCCAGCTTCCAGAACCAGGAGCCAGCACACTGCTGCTTATTCTAAACTGCTCCGCCTGGGACACTTCTGTAGCAGCACAATACAGACTACTCCAGGGGTTCTGGTCCAGTGACTCAGGATGAACCTACAGAAACTCCCACAAGAAAGAGGAGACAATCTGAGCACCAGTACACAGCAAGAGACTGAAACACAGAGGATACACTCAAGTCCAGAGTTCCTAAGACACTAGAAAGGAGATGAACTCGTCATGAAGGATGATGCCAGTAAGCCCACAAGTTACTCTGAAACTGGTTAACAAGGGGACAGCATCCTGCCTTCCCTACACACACTGTGCCACTATCATCAGGTAACAGGTGAGGACACTGTGCTTTATGGACTCATCCCAGCAAATGGACGAACGAGGCACACAGGCATGTGACCGTCACCATTAGATGACACTGGTGAACTCACACATCCAGGCACTGACTCCCGAGAGATAGCCCTAGGTGCCTCCCAGGGACAGATGGCATTGCCACCACTGAAGCAGTCTTGCCAGGAACACTAAGCCCACTAAGCCCACGTGTGTCCAGGCTCTAGCTTCATCAACTGACACAGTCTGGATGTGTCCCCACCAAATCTCCTGTGGAGATGTGCTCCTGGTTGTTGGATGGACCTGATGGGAGGTGTTGGGTCATGGGGGCAGATCCCTCACAGCTTGGTGCTGTCCTTCTGGTAGGGCAAGGATGAGTTCCCAGGAGATGCTTTTTGTGATGGTGTCTGGTGGCTCCCACACCCTCTATCACTCCTCCTCCTACCATGTGAGGCGCCTGTACCTGCTTTATCTTCCACCATGAGTAGAAGCTCCCTGAGGCCTCCCCAGAAGCTGAGCAGTTGCCTGCACCATGCTCCCTGTGCAGCATAACCGTGAGCTATAATGAAACTTCTTTTCCTTATCAATTACCCAGTCTCCAGTATTTCTTGATAGCAATGTGGGGAAGCACAGAGACCAGAGGCCACATCATAGGGGCACAGCGGCTGCGCCTGGACCCCAGGAGCCTCACCTGGCAGACCCGGCCTCTGCAGAAAATCAGCCATATGGGAAAAGGACAAAGGAAACCTCGTGATCTTGACTGAGTGGCCACTTGGGCGTGGGCACAATGTTAAGTTGCATGTCAACGTGGGGTGCAATCAGCAAAACCCAGGCAGGACAGCCTGGTCTCTTCAAGAAGCAAATTACAAACACAGAGAGGGAGAGAGAAGGACTTCTCACCATCTTGATTATGGTCATGCTTTCAGGGGTGCACATGCATGTCAAAACCTATCATACACGTTACATGTGTGCAATGTATTACATGCCAATTATACCTCAAAAAAGCGATCTTTAAAAAAAAAAAGACACACTGGCCAGGTGCGATGGTTCACACCTATAATCTCAGCAGTTTGGGAGGCTGAGGCAGGTGGATCGCTTGAGCCCAGGGGTTGGACATCAGCCTGGGGAACGCGGCGAAACCCCATCTCTACAAAATATACAAAAATTAGTAGGGTGTGGTGGTGTGCCCACCTGTAGTCCCAACTACATGGGAGGCTGAAGTGGGAGGATCACTTGAGCCTGGGACATCAAGGCTGCAGTGAGCCATGACCACACCACTTGCTTGAAGCAGGATTCACACAAGGCCTTCACTCAGCCAGACAGGATTTGATGGAGACATTTATAAGATGGTGGAAATGTGAAAAGAGTGAATATCTGATGACAGGAGGATTCTTGCTCATTTTTAAGATGTCACGATAACATGAGTATCTTTTTTAGGGAAACCCTGTCCACTGCTCTGCACTCTGCAAAAAGCCTCCCAGAATAGAAAGCAGGTTAGAAACCATTTCATTCTCCCCTTTGTTTGGTTTGGGTTTTTTTTTTAGACGGATCTTGCTGTGTCATCTAGGCTGGAGTGCAGTGGCGCAATCACAGCTCACTGCAGACTTGACCTCCAGGGCCCAAGCCACCTTCCCACCCCAGCCTCCGAGTAGCTGGGACCACAGGCATGCACCATCACACCCAGCTAACTGTTTAAAAAAACTGTTTGTAGGGACAGGGTCTCTCTCTTTCGCCCAGACTGGTGCTGAACCCCTGGGCTCAAGTGATCCTCCCAAAGTGCTGATTCCAGGTGTGAGCCACTGCACCCAGCCCACTTTCCTTTTTTTAAATGCTTCCCTACCGATAACGGAAGTCCTAAGGTCAAAGGTAAATCAATCATAGCTTACGGAAAACCTTTAAAATGAGGTGTAAGATGTCAGGCACAAGCTTGGCTGGACAGTGAGACACCAACACCACCTGCCACCGTGTGTTCGTGCTGCATGACCCACTTGGGAGGCCTGTCCCCCCAACCACCAGGAGCCCCCTCGAGGTCACAGTGCCCTCAGACCCCCACATCTGCACCAGCGACAGTGAATTCTAACACAGCCTCAAGGACACTCCTGAAAAGTTGCCACAATAGCCAACATGCCCTGAGTCTCCTACATTTTACCAAGGCCCAGAAAAATGAGGAGTCTTTATCCGGAACCTATAAAACTACCCAATTGCTACAGATGATCAAGGCAAGACAAGTAGGATCTCACTCATTCATTGAACACTCACAGAGAGCCTCCCCAGTGCCAGGCCTTGAGGTGGAAACTGGCGGTCCAGCCCTTGTGAAGCCAATCACGAAGGTGCTCCCAGGAGAGCCCTTCATGGACAAGTCCCTAGGGGAACAACCCCGGAGCTGACCCCAGAGTGAGCCTTGGGGGCAGGGAGAAAAGACTGAAGGACCGGGGTATGCTGGGAAGCACAGATGGCCCATGGGGTGGAGGAGTACCCACCCCAGCCAGGTCCTCAGTCCTTCCTCCTATCTGCCACCCCTGGACTTCTCAAAGGCCTGGGTGGGCAGATGGCAGGAAGGACTGGGCACACAGGTCTTGATTGTCTAGAAGCCCTGGGACCACCGCCATCCAGCCAAAACACCCCGAGGTGGGCTACAGGGCTGTGTACAGAAAGCCCTCCAGAGTTAAGAATCTTCCATTAAAAGAAGCAAAAATGGTTGCTCATGCCTGTAATCCCAGCATGGAGGGAGGCTGAAGCAGGAGATCACTGGAGTCTAGGAGTTCAAGACCAGCCTGGGTAACACGGCAAGACCACATCTCTTCTAAAAATTAAAATAAATTTTAATTTATTTACGTGTGTGACATAAGGCGCCACATACCTGTGGTCCCAGATGCTCAGGAGGCGGGGCAGGAGGATCACTTGAGCCCAGGAGGTTGAGGCTGCAGTGAGCCATGATCACATCACTGCACTCTAGCCAGGGAAACAGAGACCGTGTCTCGAATAAATAAAAATTTTAAAAGGAAAATAATTTTAAAAAGCAAAAGTAAGGCTTCATAACTGAGTACTCTACCAAAGTTGAGGAATATACAGAAAGTTAAATGTTCAAGAAAAAGCATTAAGAAGGCAGAGTGTATTTCCTGAACATGCTCTTGCACATGGAGCTCTCACCCCGCACTCAGAAAACAATCCAGGAGGGAGTATTTCAGGAGTGAACTTTGCTGGGGTTTCTGTGTGTTTTCATGGGCTCTTTCTGGTCAACTCTCCTTTGCGCGTCTAGAGAGAAACCCTGAAGCCTGCGCCTGTGCTGGGCATCTTCGCTGGCCTCTCACCCTTCATCCTTCTCCAGTCAGAGTTTCCGGGGGTAGGGGTGGGGGGGCACTGCCTTGGCCCCCAGGGTGCCATCCTTTCAGGCCCCAGCGAGTCTCAGTCCCCCAGCCCAAGGCACCCCCCAGTCCCTTGAAAAGGACCCCAGCACATTTTCTTAAAAGTGTTGTCCCCATCCCATCAGGATCTAAAAAGGTCCTACCAGTGGTATGAAGACTTGGACTCAAGTCTTACAAACCCATCTTTATGTTTTTCTCAGAAAAACAGATCTGGGACCCGCATGGTGGCTCACACTAGAATTCCAACACCTTGGGAGGCCGAGGTGTCAGATGGCTTGAGCCCAGGAGTTTTGAGACCAGCCTGAGCAACACAGATACTGTCTGTATAAAAAACAAAGTAAAATAAATTAGCTGGGCACAGTGGCACATGCCTGTAGTCCTAGCTACTCAGGAGACTAGGGCAATAGGACTGCCCGAGCCCAGGAGTTCCAAGCTGCCACTGCACTCCAGCCAGGGCAACAAAACGAGACTCTGCCTCTTACAGAAAAATAAATAAAGCAGACCTGCCAGTTGAGGACATCGGCGAAAGAGACTGGGGATCTGCTACTGACCACCACGGGCGACTCGCTGGAAGTTCAACTGCACACCATTACTCTGTCCATCAGTAACAGCCAGGGCACCCCAGTATGCTGGGCACAGACAAGTACACTGATCACGTGAAGATTCTAAAACCACTTCTGAGGTTAAACATTAGTTGTAAGTTTAAATTATTGAAAATAACATAAGCTCTGGCCAGGCACAATGGCTTATGCCTATCATCTCGGTGCTTTGGGAGGTCAAGGTGGGCAGATCACCTGAAGTCAGGAGTTCGAGATCAGCCTGGCCAACATGGTGAAACCCCGTCTCTACCAAAAAAATACAAAAATTAGCCAGGCATGGTGGCGCACGCCTGTACTCCCAACTACCCAGGAGGCTGAAGTGGAAGAATCGCTTGAACCTGGGAGGTGGAGGTTGCAATGAGCTAAGATTTTGCCACTGCACTCCAGCCTGGGCAACAGAGCGAGACTCTGTCTCCAAAAAGAAAAAGAAAGAAAATGTAAGTTCTATTTCATAACTTAAAAATACATCAGCAACCAGTGCTAACAAATCAACTGTGCACAGAGCCTTATGTGGCGCCTTGCTGAAAGAGAAAACGTTCCCATGATTAACAAGAATAGGGTCTGTCTCAGGACCCTACAGACCACTCAACGCTTCCACTTCAGAGAATGCTCCTCCTCCTGACAATTCAAAGCCACGAGGCAGAAACTTTCAACCTCATTCCCTTGGGAATCACAATGTGGCCAGGCTCAGCCAGGGAGCTACAGTCCCTCAATTTCCGCAGCCCCGCTGAGCTTAACAGGGAGGCGGCTGGGGCATGGGAGCAGCAATCATGTGCCAAGGTGCCAGGGCAGCCACAAGGAATGGGTTCCATGTTCCTGATTATGCCCCACAAGAGGTCACATCCAGCACAACCACAGAGCAAGTGACCCCAAAGGAACCACAGGAAGCTCTTCAGTGCCTAAGCCAAGAGGCAAGCTAGGCCATCCCTGCACTCGCTCAAGCCTATGCAAACTTCAAACCAGCTTCCACAGCCGAGGAGAGCTCCCGGTGTGGCATCGTGCACTGAAGAGCCCTTGCCATCCGCTGAAGGTCAAGGCTGACACATGAGCCCAACCACAGTGGAGAGCAGAACTAGGGCAGGCTTCGGCCAGCCAAGGAGCAAACCAAAGCCACCGTCACATCCCCGCAGGACTTCTCTTCCCCAAAGCAGTTAGCGACCTGGCAGGGCCTAACCCAGCCACTCAAATGCTCAGAAAGATGCTACCATAACACTACAAGGTTGCCAGAGCACAAGGAAGGGAAACAAGTGTCACCTACGAGCGTCAGAGTCACAAAGTTTAACACAAGGGACAGAATTAGCTCTCTGTGGGAATTAAAGATCAGAAGGTCTCCCGGATCAAGGCTGGAGGGTGGGAACATGAAATCACAGAGAGCGAGACCAAGCCTGCTCAGTGACGTGAGCACACCAAGGGAGAAGCTGGTGTGAGATGCCTTTGCCTCCATGCAGCACTGAGGGCAAGAGGCCGGGGCAAGGGCTGAGGGGCAGGGCGCAGCTCTCTTCACCCAGCACCTTCTAAGCCCAGGGGCAGGAGCAGGCAGGGCCTCTCGGGCACCTCATCCCTCACTGCGCGTCCAGCCCTTGCGTGTGCAATGCTCCTCGGTATCTCAGTCTCACACCTCCACTTTGCAAACTCAGCCCACACATCACCCCGATGCCTAGAGGCCCTCGCCCCACTGACAGCCAGCTGGCCACCACGCCACAATCTCATTTCTTTTGCAAAGGAAAACAAGACTTAACTAAAGACTCCACATCTCACAGCTTTAGAGCTGAGCTGGAGACTCTCCTACGGCACTGGAAATGTCATCCGTCCAGTGTAGTCCCTGCGGCCCACAGGTGACTGCAAACACTTGAGATGCGGCGGGTGTGAGGGAGAAGTGAATGCTGGATGCTAATTAACTGAATTGACTACACTTCCACAGCCACCCAGGGCAGTGGCGTCCAGCCTAGACACGGCGTCCCAGGGCCCCACGCAACTGAGCCATCACGGGACCATGTCCCACCAGAGGGATATGGAGGAAGATGGAGGAGGCAGCAGCAGTGAGAGCAGGGGCTCTGCCAGCCCCAGCTGCAGGACCAGGCCTCTGCAACCTTGGGAATGTTGGCAGTCCCTGCACCGCAGCTACCCTGACCAACCCGACATGATGGAGTGCTGTCAAGGCCGCCGCCAGGCCAGGCGCCATTCCTCCTTTCCCCCTTCCTGACCTCCTGGGATCGCTCCATCTGTGCTCACTGAAACATGCTTTCTGCCAATTGTTGAGGAAAAATCAAGCCCTAATATTCTTGTCATTGTAAAAGCTTAATGGTTATTTTTACAGATTTTCTATAAATTTAGAACCAAGTAAACAAGTCATATGCCATTCACAACAACAACCTTTTTAAAAAAGGGAAACGTGCGTAGCTGTCTGTCCTTGTCACCGTCTGCAGCCTGTCATGAGCAAGGCACGTAAGACCAGGTGCTCAGACCTTTGCCCTTAAATGCACTGTGGTTTTGGTGGCGACGGGATGGAATCAAGAGTGACCTTTACTGAATGCTGGCGCTTTCTGCTTTGGCCAAATGAGGTTAAGTCCGGCTGCACACGAAGCTCCAGGACACAGCCCTTCTGAGTGCAAACCAGAAGGCTCTAGGTCTACACGGTTTCATCTCAACAAACATGTCCACCTTCTTCAGATCTCCATGGTTTCTCTTAGTGTGGGGCTGTATGTGGCTCATCAGCTACCTAACACCACACAGAGTGTAACACCTCTTAGCTGAAGAACAGGTTTCAGGCTCAGCACGGTGGCTCACATCTGTAATCCCAGCACTTTGGGAGGCCGTGGTGGGCAGATCACTTGAGGTCAGGAGTTCAAGACAAGCCTGGGCAACATGGCGAAACCCCATCTCTACTAAAAATACAAAAAAAATTACAGGTGGCACACACCTGTAGTCCTAGCTACTCAGGAGGCTGAGGCACAAGAATCGCTTGAATCCAGGAGGAGGAGTTTGCAGTGAGCTGAGATCATGCCACTGCACTCTAGCCTGGGTGACAGAGCAAGCCACTATATCAAAAAAATAATAAGAAAAAGAACAGGTTTCAGCTCTTCATCCCAAGAGAATGGCCCAACCCTGACTCGGGAAGGCCCTGTGCTGAGCACCCCAGCCAAGCAAGCTTACCAGGAGCACATGAGGGCTCTGAATCCGCCTGGAATTCATGCAGGAAACAGTTTTGAGACTTGAGAAAGGCAGGTGAAGCTGCTCTCACTGTGCGAACAGCAGCACGCCTACTGTTTACCATTCTCCATGCCAAGAGGGTGACCTCAGGAGGCAGGCAAAGGTGAGCAAGAAGCAGCTGCGGGGAGTGGCAATTCTTCCCACCGGGCCTCGAAGCCAATGTGGTCCGACGCCCCAGAAGCGGAGCCTCAAGCCCCACTCACCGCAGTCAGCTCCCTCGAGTACCATCGCTGACTTGACTAATCTGCTTCTGTGGGATATTAATTGCCAAAAGTACATCACACACTTCGAGGAACGTTATCTTATACTGCGGTGCAATGTATTTCCAAACACACAAGATGAAGGCAAGCTCTTCTGCAGAAAATCATTTGTTTTAACCAACCTCCTCCTTATGCAACTCAATGAAAAGCGGTTCCAGTGCAGCCCTCAAGACTGGGCGGGTGAGCACTGGACAGGGAACATGCCCACGGCTCTCAGGCACCCTGCTCTCGGAAAGCTGCGCCAGAGGACAGGGCGGGCACTCCGAGGGCAGCGGCAGCATCGGGCAGCCCCCCCACTGCCCGGCCGCCCGCTGCCACTGTGTGTCTCTGATGATCAAACCCACAGTCCTGAGAGGAGCCCAGCTTGCGGCTGCGGCTGGAGGAGGAGGCGACACCTCCACCCACATGTCACACCCCAGCAGGGGCCACCTCGGTGGCGGGGGCGGCGGTAAGGGAGCAGGAGGACGACCAAGACAGCAGACGGAAGGGAGTATACAGCGTGAGAGGCTGCTGTCCTA